GAATCGAACCCAGGACCTCCTGCATGCAAGGCAAGCGCTCTACCACTGAGCCACCTACCCAGCCCCTGAACCAAGTTTGTGGACTGGTTCACCTAATTTTCTGTTGTCACCTAGTACTTGATCAAAATGCCCAGTAAACTCCACTTCCCCAATGGTTCTGTCTATATCAATCCCACTGGAACAAACCCATGCCTTCAAGCATTCCAAACAGAAACAATTAGTTTCCTCCTGATATCCTGGATGTCAGTCACCCACTCCAGATTCTTCCCTACTGCAGGGCCACAAACTGATACCTGCAAAGGTCCCACCAATCCCACCTCAAAGGTCCACTTTTTATTCAGACCAGTCCTGATGTCACCAAAATATTTCTTCATAAATTGTAAACCATGGCCCTCTTTCCCTAACAGCACTTGGCCACACATGTAATTAAATAAGGACTTTTTTTCCATTAAAATTGTAATCAAGGGGCTGGGAAGGTGGCTCAGTGGTAGAGCACTTGCCTGAGGCCCTGGGTTCGATTCCTCAGAACTACATAAGCAAAAAGAAAAAAGCCGGAAGTGGTGCTGTGACTCAAGTGGTAGAGCGCTAGCCTTGAGCTGAAGAGCCGAGGGACAGCGCCCAGGCCCAGAGCTCAGGCCCCACGACCGGACCCAAAAAATAAATAAAATTGTAATCAAGCTCTCAGGTGAAAGATATGGGGGGAGGGGAGAGGAGATACACTGGGGAAATGGCTAGGTGTTTTGAAGGGAAAAAAAGAATTTCAGAGATGACAGAGAAGGTGCCTTTACTGTAAAGAAAAATGTCTACCAACAGGAAACAAAGAGAAACCTAAGAAACTGCAAAACGGACTCAAAGTGTGGCTCAAGATAGAGCACCAATTAGCACAAACTGAGTGCCCCCCCCAAACAAAATTATCTTGGGAGAACAGCCAACCCAAAGCACTTTCAGGATTAAGAGACTAGAACAAAGAGCTATCCAAAAGGTACTTAGAGGTGGGCTCCACTGGCTCTTCCCAACAACCCCAGAGCTTTAAGAGGCTGCAATAATATTGAAATCAAAATGCAAAGCCAGGGTAGGTGGCTCAGCACCACATAAACAGATAAAGTGGCTTGTGTAGCCTTGAGCTGAAGAGCTAAGGGACAAGACCCAGGCGGGAGTTCAAGTTCCAGCAACAACAACAAAAAGCTAACCCAAAAAAAAAAAAAAATACAAAGCCAGTAGTCAGCTAATCTCAGTCCTCAACTCCCAAACAGGAAGTGGAGACACAGCTCAGAGGTAGATTAGCAGAAGTTAGTGCTCTTCAAAGCATTTATAATCAGACCCCAATAGGGGATCTGATTATCCCCTAATTTGAGGACAATAAAAGATGTAGATTAGGCCCCACAGTGGCTCAAGCCTTTAGCTACACAAAATGCTAAAATGTGAGGATAATGGTTCAAAGCCAGTCCAGGCAGGCAACTCTTATCTCCAATTACCCAGAAAAGGCTGGGAGTGGAGCTGTGACTAAAGTGATACACTTGCACTGAACAACAGAAAAAAGGGGGGGGGGAGCTAAGGGAGGTGGACACGTGGACACCGTCGAACAAACGCGCGCGCACACACACACACACACACACACACACACACACACTTCTCTCTCAAGGATGCCAGGAGATAAGCTACGTGGACTAAACCTGAACTTAATGTGGGAGCATACCAAAGACCTTCTTTCAAGTCTGATCCCGACTCTTCTCCATTCACCTTACCTAGCGCTTCTATCTTCTACATCTCAACCGCAAGGCCTTCCTTTCTCTCACGACCTCAAAATAGAAACAGGAGTAGAAACAAAGAGCTCCTTCAGCTCTGCGGCAGGCAGGGCCTGGGCGGACCGCGTCCCCCCGGGGCTGGCCCCCGGCCCCGGCCCCGGCCCCGGGAGCGGAACGGGGCGCGGCTGGGACTTTGGGGACACCCGTGAGCACAGGTCACAAAAGGCCAGCGGCGGAGATCCTCACCAACACGGCTCACCCTGTCCGGCCTCGGGGTGGGGTGGGCTGGAGCGGTGTGCAGCGCGTCCCCGGCGCAGGGAGGAAGCGGGCGCGGGGCCGGGCCGGGCCCCCCGCCGCCGCCGCCCGCGCTCCGCGGGGAAGGGCTGCCGGAAGCCGGCCGCCCGCCCCGGCCTCGCCCGCTCCCGGCCCCGAGGGGGCGGCCCCGGGAAGCCGCAGGCCTCCCCCGGGCGGAGCGGGGACGCGCGCACAAAGGAGACGGCGGGAACAAAAACCCCGGCGGGCCCCGAGCGAGCGCCGCTCCGCTCCACCGTGACCTTGGCGGCGCGCGGCCCCTCGCCCCGCCCCGGCCTCAGTTTCCCCGCCCAGGCGTCCGCGCGAGCAGCCACGCCGAGCCCCGGGCGGAGGCCGCCAGACTTGCGCGGCCTGGGCCGAGTCCGGGCCCCGGCGCGGACGGCGCGGCTGCGCGAGCAGAGCTGGCCTCGGCCCCGCAGGCGCGGCTCGAGGAGCGGGGCCCGCCGCGCCCGGCGGCCTCGGCCCTCGCTCGCGCTCCCTTCCCTTCTCCGAGCCCGGCCTTACCTGGGGCTACCCCAGTTCCGCAGACCGCCGCGAGCGAACTCGAGCGAGGGCAGCGCCGCGGAGAACCGCTCGAGCACGACTCCTCCGCCCCGGAGCAACCCACTTCCGCTCTGCCGGCCTGGGCTCTGCCCCGCCCCGCGCTCGTCCCCATTGGCCTCCGCCGTCCCCACGCCCGCGGCCGGCCGCGCCATCCTCAATCCTATTGGGTAAGGGAACCATCTATTAACATTTTGAAATGTGCCTCCTTCCGGTCCCGCCCACACACGCTCGCCAAGCCCCCTACTTCTCGCGAGAGCGGCTGCCGCGCAGCTCCGCCCTCGAGACTCCGGCTCCCGGGTCCGGGGTCGTCCGCCGCCGCGGGCCGCTCGCGGGCCCCGAGCCTGCCTCCGTGTCCGGGGCCGGCCGACGGCGCGCGCCTGCCCTTCCCGGAGACCAGGCCAGGTCCGCACCGCGTTCCTGTGCCAAGCCCATTTCCTTCCTCGCCACCTACCGGGGAGGACGGCCCCGCGGCCGGGGGCTCCGGGCGCGACGGCCCTGGCCCTTCCGGAAACCCCGGGGTTCCCGGTGCGGGCCCCGGCGCCGCGCGGCCGGAGGGCTCGCGGGCCGCGCGCCGCCCGCACGGTGGCCTGCGCTCTCCGCGAGTGCGGCCTCCGTGGCGCCGGGGGTGTGGGGCAGCCGGGGCCCCGACGGCGCGCGCGCGCGCGGCGCAGCTTTGCTTTGCTTTGTCCCGGCTGACCTGCACTTGGAGCTCACCTGTCCCAGCCCCGCGGGTTGCGGTCCTGGGCCACCATGCCCACCTGAATAGCTTACTTTGATGTGGCCATACTACGTGTCGGATGGCTTGCCGCTCAAGGGTGGAGGCCTGGGTTCCAGCCCCAGAAGGGACAACTGTAGACATGAAATACGCCTGTGGTAATTAAACTCTTGGTGAAAGTAACTAAATGCTTTAAAAAAAAAAAATCAGCTTGCATGGTTATGCCATTTAAAATGCTCTGAGCCGGGCGGCGGCGGCTCTCGCCAGTCAGCCTAGCTACTCTGGAGGCTGAGACTCTTATCTCCAATTAATCACCAGAAAACCCGAAGTGGCGCTGTGGCTCAAGCGGTAGGGCGCTGGCCTTGAGCTGAAGAGCTGAGGGACAGCGCCCAGGCCCAGAGTTCAAGACCCATGACCAACCAAGAAAAAGAAAAAAAGAAGTGAGGACTCCAGGGCCATGTGAGGCCCATATTCTGACCGGGCACAAGGCCACTTCTGCACCCTACTGACCAAAGAAAGGCTCAATGCCAGGCCAGGTCGGAGGCTGGGGACACGGATTACACTTTTTTTTTTTTAATTGAGGTTGAGACTAGGTAACCCAGTCTGGCCTCAAACTCCAAAGTGCTGGACTGCAGGTATGCACTACCAGAACTGGTAAAGATTCCAGCAGCTCTTGGCTACTTTTTGTTCTCTGTTTTCTAGTTACTGAGTGTTGAACTCAGGGACAAACTCATGGGCATTTTTTGCTCAAAGCTAAACACCATTTTCCAGATTTTTGCAGATTAACTGGACATAAGAATCTTGAGGATTTGTCTACCCATCTGGCAGATCTCAGCTTCTTGAGGATTAAGGGCGTGAGCCAGTGGTGCCTGCTAAGACTCCAACTGTCCATGAGAAGTATGAAGTTACAAGGCAAGGGGTGAAAATAGAGAAAAAGATTTTGCCGTCACTCTATTATACATGTTATCAACATAATCCAGTCCTGCTGCCAGTCAGGTTTGTGTGGAGCAGGCAAGGCCCCAGTGCTCCCCAGCTGGCTCTGATGGACTGGATGGGGAAGGGAACCTTGTTAACTGCCGGGAGCGTCCGGGGCCTACGGGGGTGTGCGGAGGCTAGCCTAGCCAGGGAAAGGCGAGCTGTGCCTGCCGCCAGCGGCCCGGCTCACCGGCCCACTGTAGAAGCTGGCAGAAAGGACGGTGACTGGGAGGCGGCGCTCACACCGCAGGCTTGTCCTCAAGGCTCCCGCTCTCCACGGCAGTCTGGCGCTCTACCCATCGTTACCACCACGTTCTTCCGCATCAGATAAAATGGACTGGAATCACACGACGCGGGACGTAACAAGTGTGTTTATTTCCTTAAACGCAGTGGACTCTGCGTGTCCAGCTGGCTTGTGGGGAAATCGCGGCCCTGTGCTGTAACTCATACTGGGAGGCTGCTTCCCAGCCTCCCCGGCGGGGGCCCCGCCGCTGCCCGGGGGGGGGGGGGGGCTCTCCGCGGAGTCTGCGGCCCTGGGCGGCCCCCGGGGAAGAGGCGCCCTTCCTGAGCCCGGGCCGCCGGCCCTCCAGCCGGGGCGGTCCCGCCGGGCCGCCCGGGAGCCGCCTCTGGGCTCGGGCGGGGGAGGGCTCGCTGGGGGAGGTCTGCCCGAGCTCCACCGGGCGCGGAGCTCCAAGGGGCGGGGCGCGGGCTCAGGCGGCCCCCAGGCCCCGCGCCGCCGGGGGGCCGCAGCTCTGCTGCCGGGCCCGCAGCTGGCGCTCTCGGCTCCGCTCCAGCTCCTCCCAGCGCTGCGCCTCCTCCTGCGCCTGCGGGGCGGGGAAGGGACGCGCGGTTCCGCGGCCGGCCCCCAGCGCCGCCCGCCCCGCGCCCCGCGCCCCGCGCCCCTCCCCCCGCGCCCCTCCGAGCCAGCGCCCCGCTCCCCGTCCCGGCCCCGCGCCCCCCTCCCCGCGCCCCTCTCCCCGTCCCGGCCCCGCGCCCCGCGCCCCCCTCCCCGTCCCGGCCCCGCGCCCCGCGCCCCTCTCCCCGTCCCGGCCCCGCGCCCCGCGCCCCCCTCCCCGTCCCGGCCCCGCGCCCCGCGCCCCCCTCCCCGTCCCGGCCCCGCGCCCCGCGCCCCTCTCCCCGTCCCGGCCCCGCGCCCCGCGCCCCCCTCCCCGTCCCGGCCCCCTTCCCCGTCCCGGCCCCGCGCCCCGCGCCCCCCTCCCCGTCCCGCGCCCCTCTCCCCGTCCCGCGCCCCTCTCCCCGTCCCGCGCCCCTCTCCCCGTCCCGGCCCCGCGCCCCCCTCCCCGCGCCCCTCCCCCCGCGCCCCTCCGAGCCAGCGCCCCGCTCCCCGTCCCGGCCCCGCGCCCCCCTCCCCGCGCCCCTCTCCCCGTCCCGGCCCCGCGCCCCCCTCCCCGTCCCGGCCCCGCGCCCCGCGCCCCTCTCCCCGTCCCGGCCCCGCGCCCCGCGCCCCCCTCCCCGTCCCGGCCCCGCGCCCCGCGCCCCCCTCCCCGTCCCGGCCCCGCGCCCCGCGCCCCTCTCCCCGTCCCGGCCCCGCGCCCCGCGCCCCCCTCCCCGTCCCGGCCCCCTTCCCCGTCCCGGCCCCGCGCCCCGCGCCCCCCTCCCCGTCCCGCGCCCCTCTCCCCGTCCCGCGCCCCTCTCCCCGTCCCGCGCCCCTCTCCCCGTCCCGGCCCCGCGCCCCCCTCCCCGTCCCGCGCCCCCCTCCCCGTCCCGGCCCCGCGCCCCTCTCCCCGTCCCTGCCCCGCGCCCCGCGCCCCCCTCCCCGTCCCGGCCCCGCGCCCCGCGGCTCACCCGGGGATGGGGCCGGCCGGCCCTCGGCGCGGCCCCGGGCGGCTGCGCGGCCCGCCCCCGGCGCTCGGCCGTCCGCTGCTCGATCTTGCGCCGCAGCTCCAGCACGCGCTCGTCCGTGCTGGGCGGCCCCGGGGCCCGCGCCTTCTTCTCCTCCCACCTGCACCCGGCAGCCTGGGTCAGGGTCGGCGGGGAGACCGCGCCCCGACCGCGGACGGCTCCCCGCACAGGCCCCCCGCCGGAGCACTCGTTTGCTGGCTGTTGGTGCCCGTCCCGCCGTGCCCAGCTGGCTTGTTTTCTGCTCTGCCCGGGGCTGGCACGCTTGAACCACAGCCCCACCTCCGGGAGCGCGTGTGCGCGTGCGTGAGTGTACCCGCAGGCCCGCTGCTCGGGCACGTGTGCCCGTAGGCTGGCTGCAGGCAGCCTGGCCACACCGCGCTCCGCCTGCCCTGGCGCCGCGGTGGACGGGAAGGGCCCCGTGCGCCCCCCCTCCACACGCCCGCCCTCCGTGACCCCCTCCTCGTGCCCGCCGCCCCACCCCGTGGCAGCCGCAGCAGGTGTTGGAGGGCTGGGGATGTCTACCCTGCCACCCGCCCCTCTCCAGGCCTGGGTACCGCTTTCCCCTGTAATAGCTGTGCCAGGGTCCAGCAAGACCCTGGGTGGACGGAGGGTGCCTGCCCAAGCCTGACAGGGCTGACCTGACAGCTGCACTGGGCTGGGACCCCCCCAGTGTCTGCCCCTAAGACAAACAAGCTAGAATGTGTATGCGCATGCATGTGATATGTGGTTTAAAAATACACAACAACAAGCCGGGCGCTGGTGGCTCACGCCTGTAATCCTAGCTACTCAGGAGGCTGAGATCTGAGGATCTTGGTTCAAAGCCAGCCCGGGCAGGAGAGACCGTGAGACTCCTATCTCCAATAAACCACCACAAAACTGGAAGTGGCGCTGTAGCTCAAGTGGTAGAGCGCTCTCCTTGAGCTGAAGAGCTGAGGGACAGCGCCCAGGCCCAGAGTTCAAGCCCCACGACCGACCAAAAAATATATATATATACAACAACAGGGCTGGGAAGGTGGCTCAGTGGTAAAGCGCTTGCCTTGCATGCCTGAGGCCCTGGATTCCATTCCTCAGCACCACAAAAGCAAAAAGAAAAAAGCCGGAAGTGGCGCTGTGGCTCAAGTGGTAGAGCCCTAGCCTTGAGCTGAAGAGCTGAGGGACAGCGCCCAGGCCCAGAGTTCAGGCCCCACGACCGGACCCAAAAAAAAATATATATATATTCAACAACAATCTGGGCACCCGTGGCTCACGCCTGTCATCCTAGCTACTCAGGAGGCTGAGATTTGAGGATCGTGGTTCAAAGCCAGCCCAGGCAGGAAACTCTGGGAAACTCTTAGCTCCAATAACCTCCAAAAAGCCAGAAGTGGAACTGTGGCTCAAGGGGTAAAGGGCTAACCTTGTATTAAAAAAAAAAAAAAAAAGGAAGTGGTGCTGTGGCTCAAGTGGTAGAGCGCTCGCCTTGAGCTGAAGAGCTGAGGGACAGCGCCTAGGCCCAGAGTTCAAGCCCCATGACCAAAAAACAAAACAAAACAAAACACAAAAGCTCAAAGACAGCACCTGAGCCATAGGAGCAGCGCATGCACGCACGCACACACACACACAGTTTTCACAGTCTTGAGATGCCTGGAGAAATGTGAACATAGGATGTTCAGGCAGTCCCAAGACTTTCCGTCACCTTTCCTAGCTGTGTTATGGTGCCATGGCTATGTAGGACAAGCTTTTTTTAGAAGACTCACGCTACAGTGTTCAGGAATAAAGCAGCAGATGCCGGAAGCTACTTCCAAACGGCTCTGCAGCTAGCTAGCTAGCTAGCGGTGAGGCACCTCTGCGACCTCAGTGTCACATATGTGACCCAGGCATAACAAGACTGCAGCCAGGTCATCAGTGCCGCGGCCATCCCACCATTCCCCACCATTTCTGGAATGCCTGAAAATCAACTCAAAATGAGAGAGCTCAGTTACAGCAATCAGCCTGCTGCCAGGGGCAGGGAGGGGGGAGGGGGAGGAGTGGGGGGAGCCCACCCGGGCAGGCTCGCTGCTCCCCGCTCTCAGGAGCTGCCTTCCCTGGGGGCCAGGCACCCACCGCAAGGCTGCCGTCCTCCCCATGGCTGCGCGGCACAGGGAGATCTGCTCGACGGTGTTCTGCAGCTCCAGGCTCTTAGCACGCTTGCTCTCTATGATTTGATCCCGCTTCTCCTCCTCCTGGCGCCTCTGGGCCTCTCTGAGCAGAACAAGTCGCTCTTGAAGCTCCACAACAGACATCTCTCCCTCCAGGCCATAGCCGGGGATCTGGGGGGCACAGGGAAGGGAGCTGAGGTCCAGCTCTGCGTGGGCTGGGTAGGTCTCAAGCAGGGCAGGGCCAGCCTCTGGCCTTGGTGGGCGCTGCAGGCCGCTGGGCTCGGCTCCCTCACCTGGGTGAGGTCCACCAGCTTGCCCTTGCGCGTGGGCTGTGTCTCCAGAGCACGCAGCTGGGAGATGAGCCTGCAGCGCTGCCTCTGCTCCTCCCTGGCCTCCTCAGCCATGCGCTGCAGCAGCTCCCGGCTCTCCTCCATCACCTCCTGAACTTGGGGACCAAGCAGAGTGCTCACAGGGCTGGGGGGTTGGCAGGCAGGCACTGGGCAGGGGCCACTTCCCGCACAAATCCCTAGTTCAGGCCACTAGGGAGCACCTGTCCACCGCCAGCCCTCTCTCCAAGGACATGGGCCGCAGGGACCCCAGTAGCTCGCCTGCCGAGGACCCTGACAGGGAGGAGAGGAGCTAGGAAAACCCCTGCCATACCTATCTCCCGCCGGCCTTTTACAAGCTTCATCTGGGCCACCTTGACATTCTTCTGTGACTCTATCACCTGCTCCACCAGCTCCTTCATGCACCTGTCTTCCTGCTGGCGCCTCTGGGTGCACTGTAGCATCAACGCTGCCGTCTGCTCAGACAGGACCGCCACAGTGAGAGCTGGCTGCTCCCGCCTGCCATCCAGCCCCAGCCCAGCCCTGCCTCTAGACCGCCCCACGTCCTGCTCCCTTCCTCCTGCCACGGGCCTGGATGTGGATTTTGTTCTTTGGTAATTTGTTGCGGCAGCCCTAGAGACCTAAGTACATAGTAATGTGAAATGTTCAAGATGAGGGGATGGGTGGAGGATGCAGAACTCTGTACTGTCTGCAGCCTTTTTGTAAATCGTAAAGTTATCCTAAGATATAGGATTTAAGAAATTCCTTTTTTTTTTTTTTTTTACCAGTCCTGGGGCTTGAACTCAGCCTGGGCACTGTCCCTGAGCTGCTTTTTGCTCAAGGCTAGCGCTCTACTACTTGAGCTACTGCACCACTTCTGGCCTTTTCTGTTTATGTGGTACTGAGGAACGGAACCCAGGGAACTGGTGGCTCACGCCTGTAATCCAGGCTATCCAGAAGGCTGGGATCTAAAGATCATGGTTCAAACAACCAGCAAAAAGCCAGAAGTGGGGCTGGGAAGTTGGCTCAGTGGTAGAGTGTTTATCTTGCATTCATGAGACCCTGGGTTCAATTCCTCAGCACCACATAAGCAGAAAAAGCTAGAAATGGCCCTGTGGCTCAAATGGTAGAGGGCTAGCCTTGAGCTGAAGAGCTGAGGGACAGCATCCAGGCCCCGAGTTCAGGCCCCACAACTGAAAAAGAAAATAGAAAATAAAGCCAGAAGTAGAGCTGTAGCTCAAGTGGTAAAGCACTAGCCTTGAGCCCAAAAGCTCACGGACAGTGCCCAGACCCAAATTCAAGCTCCAGCACACACACAAAAAAAGTTTTACTTTTGTTTTTTGTTTGTTTTTGGTCAGTCATGGGGCCTGGGCACTGTCCCTGAGCTCTTCAGCTCAAGACAAGCACTCTACCACTTAAGCCACAGCACCACTTCCAGTTTTCTAGTGGTTTATTGGAGATAAAAGTCTCACAGACTTTTCCTGCCTGGGCTGGCTTTGAACAGTGATCCTCAGATCTCGGCCTCCTGAGTAGCTAGGATGACAGGCATGAGCCACCAGTGCCAGGCAAAAGTTTTACTTAAATAGAGCTGCTTATTTACATGGTTCATCAAATTATTTTAAAAGAAGGATAAAATTGGTTGAAGCTGGGCACCGGTGGCTCACGCCTGTCATCCTAGCTACTCAGGAGGCGGAGCAGGAAAGTCCGTGAGACACTCATCTCCAATAAACCATTCAGAAAACTGGAAGTGGTGCTGTGGCTCAGGTGGTAGAGCGCTTGCCTTGAGCTGAAGAGCTGAGGGACAGTGTCCAGGCCCAGAGTTCAGGCCCACAACTGACAAAAAAAAAAAAAAAAAATTGAGTGAAAAAAAATATAATCAAGGAGTTCTCAAGATGGCGACGGGGCAGTAGGGAAACGCCACAGCTCTCTCCAACCAAAAAGAGAGTTCGAGTTCCAACCTTTAATCTCCCCAAGAGACCGACAACAACAAAAAGACGAACACTCAGAGAAAAACCAGAGGTGGAAAATAACAAAAAAAGAAAGAGAGGAAAAGAAGAATTTCAGAACAGAGAAGAGCGAAGACCCCTCCCCCAACCTTTACTGGCCGCGCGGCAGTGCGCCAAGCCGCCGGCCAGCCGGCCCGGCAGGGGCTGCCGGAGCCACAGAGACACAGGGGGCTGCTTGCAGATCACCAGGTACCGGATTGCAGAACAGCGGATCGCCAGGAACAGAGAAACCTACCAGCCGGGAGTCTCCAGGAGGATCCCACCCCACCCATCACTCTCCACCGGAGCGGAGAGGCTCCATCCCGCCAAAGCCGCCCGGCACCAGCAGCGCCACAAAGGGACCTGCCCGCAGACCACCCGCCCAATCGCGATCGCAACGACCCGGCGGGGGGCCGCCCAACCCAGCCCGCAACCACCCCAACTGAACTCGGACTGCAACAACAACTGACGGACTGCAACAACAACTGACGACCTACAGGGTGAGTACCCATCAGGGGACAGGGAATCCATCAAGGGAGACCAGAGCTGGAGGGAATCCCCAGACCCTGACCTAGACTCCCTACCCCAACACCCGGACCACAGGACCCACTAAAACTGGGAACTGTTCGAGAGCCCCACCAGCCGGTGGAGCACACTCTGCTGGCCAGGCCAGAGCAAGAGCGCCCCGGGAAGGGAGCTTAAATGCTCAAGCCAGGAACAGTGCCCCTGGGTCAAGACTACCAACAGTAGAAGAAATTTGAACTGTGTCCTCCAGGCTGCATAACCAAGGTGGTATACACATTAGCACAGGCCTAACGAGCGCGCTCCAGGCTGGGGCCGGAACCAGGCCAGGGGACCGGCGCCTGAACAAAGCAAAAAGGGTCAGAAGTGGGGCTGTGGCTCAAATGGTAGGGTGCCAGCCCTGAGCTGAAGAGCTGAGGGACAGCACCCAAACCTAGAGTTCAAGCCCACAACCAGCCCAAAACAAACAAACAAAAACACATCAGGAGCCCATAGCAGACTCCAGTATTTGGGAGAGTGCATCCAGAGCATCTGATCTTCCCAAGAGCACCCGCAGTCTAGGCTGCTCAACCCTTCCAAAGGCGGGAATTGCTACAGCAGAGAGCTGAGAATCCTAAGTGAATAGCAGCTGGAAATAGGCTCCCAACAGAATCCAGATCAGGCACAGACTCTCTCTACCAATAGAGAATCAGCAACCAAGCAAAGACAGACGCACCAAAACAAGATTGAAGAGCAGTCTCCTGAACCCCCATGCGAAAATCACAGAGAAAAATCACAAGGTTTACCACTACCCAGGACAGCAAGCTCACCTCAAAAGCCAGCAGCCACGCAGGGGAGAGCCCCAGTGGGAGCAAAGCAGGAATGGAAGACAAAAACTACATCCAAGGGTTGCTGGAGGCAATGACTCAAGAAATAAAGCGAGAAATGGATCAGAAATTGAAAGAGCACAAGGATGAACTATCAAAAGATATACAGGATATCAAACAAAAATTGGATGCAAAAATAGAAGCTGCACAAACCTCAGTAAGAAGTGAGATAAACGCCAAATTAGAGGTAATGCATACTGATATCACCTCATTGAGAGGTGAGATCAGTACTCTGAGAACCAACATTGAATCCATAAAGGGATCCATTTCCACCATGCAAACCACAATAGAAGCCACGGTCAACAGAGTGAATGAAATGGAAGGTAGAGTGTCAGATACAGAAGACAGAATACACCAACTGGACCAAAAAGTGACAGATATGGAAAAATCACTCAAATTAAACCAAAGGGAAATTCAAGAGCAAGCAGATAATGCTAAAAAATTTAACCTTCGCATAATCGGAGTGGACGAAGGTGAGGAATTCCAGAGCAAGGGAATGCAACACCTATTGAACAAGATAGTCAATGAAAATTTTCCCCACCTCAAAAACGACCATCTTAACTACATCACAAAAGCTTATCGAACACCCAACAAGCAAGATCCCAGGAGAAACACTTCTAGGCACATAATAGTAACAATGATGGATCTGAATAATAAGGAAACAATCCTGCATGCAGCAAAAATGAAGAAGGAGCTATACTACAACGGGAAAAAAATTAGAATCACTGCAGATCTCTCCACACAAACAATGAATGCAAGAAAAGCCTGGGAAAGCACCATACGAGCCCTGAGAGCCAATAACTGCCAACCCAGACTGATATACCCGGCAAAGCTAGCATTCACATTCGATGGAGAACTGAAAACTTTTAATAGCAAAGAAAAACTAAATGAATACATAAACATTAAGCCAGCATTACAAAGAATTCTAAGAGGGGGGACACAACCTGAAGAAAGCAACCAGGAACTGGGACCTGCCCCAAACAGGCATTACTCAAAGTCTAACTGAGCAAGCACAGGAGGAAAGGAAAGAAGAAAAACTTAGGAAAACGGAATGGCAGGGACAACAATGCATCTCTCTATACTTTCTCTTAATATAAATGGGCTGAATTCGCCAATTAAAAGAAAACGAACTGAGGACTGGATCAGAAAACAAGACCCATCCATCTGTTGCCTTCAGGAGACCCACCTCTCAGCCAAACATACAAACAAACTCAGAGTGAAGGGGTGGAAAAGGATCTACCAATCAAATTCCCCCAATAAGAAAGCAGGTGTAGCTATCCTGATATCTGACAAAATAAACTTTTCATTAAAATCAGTACAGAAAGACAAGGACGGACACTACATATTAATAAAGGGAACAATCCAAGAGGAGGATATAACCATCATCAACTTATATGCCCCAAATATCGGTGCACCCAGATATGTTAAACAAATGCTCTCAAACTTACAGAATAAAATAGATCCCAATACGATAATACTAGGAGACTTTAACACGCCACTCTCACCAAAGGACAGGTCTACCAACCAGAGGATTGGCAAAGAAGCTACCGAATTAAGTGAGGCCATACTTCAAGCGGAATTAACTGACATCTACCGAGTATTTCACCCTAAAACAACACAGTACACATTCTTCTCAGCAGCTCATGGAACTTTCTCCAAAATAGACCATATCATAGTTCATTCAAGGAACTTAAGCAAATACAAAGGGATCGACATAATCCCCTGTATCCTATCTGACCACAGTGGAATCAAGCTAGCTCTCAATAACAAAGCATACCGCAGAAATTTCTCTAATACATGGAAATTGAACAGCACACTCCTTAACAAGGCCTGGGTAACAGAAGAGATCAGAGAAGAAATAAAGCATTTCCTAGAACTCAATGAAAATGAAAACACCTCACAAAGAAACTTGTGGGACACAGCAAAAGCAGTCCTGAGGGGCAAATTTATTGCCCTCAGTGCCCACATCAAGAGAATGGAGACAGACCAAGTAAATAATCTCATGTTGCAACTAAAACAGCTAGAAAAACAAGAAAAAATGGGACCTAAAGATACTAGACGAAGCCAGATAACCAAATTGAGAGCAGAGATTAACCAATTAGAAAATCAGAAAACCATAACCAAAATAAACCAAACAAAAAGCTGGTTCTTTGAAAAAATAAACAAAATTGATGGCCCGTTGGCAAGATTAATTAAAAAAAGAAGAGAGGAAACCCATATTAATAGGATTAGGGATGCCACGGGAAACATCACAACACGTACCCAAGATATCCAAACAATTCTAACAGACTACTTTCAAAAGCTATACTCTCTAAAGGAAGAAAATCTGGCGGAAATGGATGCATTTTTAGAGAAATACAAGTTACCCAAACTGAGCAAAGAAGAAGTTAACCAATTAAATAAGCCAATATCCTATAATGAGATACAGGAAGCTATCAAAAGTCTTCCAACAAAAAAAAGCCCAGGACCAGATGGATTCACAGCAGAATTCTATAAGACCTTTAAAGAAGAACTAATACCCATACTCCTCAAGCTCTTCAGAGAAACAGAGAAGGAGGGAGCTATCCCAAACTCATTCTACGAAGCCAATATCACACTCATCCCCAAACCAGGCAAAGACCCAACCAAAAAGGAGAATTACAGGCCAATCTCCTTGATGAACACAGATGCAAAGATCCTTAACAAGATTCTAGCTAACAGAATCCAGAAACACATAAAAAAAATAATACACTATGATCAGGTAGGCTTCATCCCAGAGACACAGGGATGGTTTAACATACGTAAGTCAATAAATGTAATCCAGCATATCAACAGAGCCAAGGTCAAGAATCACATGATTATCGCCACAGATGCAGAAAAGGCCTTTGATAAAATTCAACATTCATTCATGCTAAAAGCTCTGGAGAAAATAGGAATAGAAGGAACATTTCTAAAAACAATAAAAGCCATTTATGACAGACCAATAGCCAATATTATACTTAATGGGGAAAAGCTACAACCAATCCTCCTAAAAACAGGAACAAGGCAAGGATGTCCACTGTCTCCACTCCTCTTCAACATAGTCCTAGAACCCTTAGCCAGGGCAATAAGGCAAGAAAAAGACATTAAAGGGATCCGCATAGGGAAAGAAGAAGTGAAACTATCCCTTTTTGCAGACGACATGATACTATACCTCCACGATCCCAAAAACTCCATCCCCAAACTTTTAGAAATCATAAGTCACTTCGGCAAAATAGCAGGATACAAAATAAACCCACAAAAATCAGTTGCCTTCCTATACACTGATAACGCACAGGAAGAGAGGGAAATAAAGGGAGCAACCCCATTCACAATAACCTCCCAAAAAATAAAATATTTAGGAATTAACCTAACCAAAGATGTAAAAGAACTATTTAATGAGAACTATAAAAAGTTAAAGAAAGAAATTGCAGAAGACACTAGGAAATGGAAAGACCTCCCATGCTCCTGGATAGGCCGACTTAATATAGTAAAGATGGTGATACTTCCAAAATTAATATACAAATTCAATGCAATTCCTATTAAAATCCCAATGACGTACATCACTGAAATACAGAAAACAGTCCAAAAATTTATATGGAACAACAAAAGACCTAGAATAGCCAAAACAATTCTAGGGGATAAAGACAATATGGGAGGGCTATCCATGCCGAACTTCAAACTCTACTACAGAGCTATAATCACAAAGACAGCATGGTACTGGCACAAAAACAGACCCGAAGACCAATGGAACAGAATAGAAGATCCAGATATAAATCCACAGGCCTACAGCCAGCTGATATTCGACAAAGGAGCCAAAGACATACAATGGAAGAAACACAGCCTCTTCAACCGCTGGTGCTGGGAAAACTGGGCAGCCACATGCAGAAAACTAAAAGTGGACCCCAGCCTATCACCATGCACCAACATCAACTCAAAATGGATTAAAGACCTTAACATTAAACCTGAATCTCTGAAACTACTGCAGGACAGAGTAGGAGAGACACTTGAACTAATAGGCACAGGAAGGAACTTCCTGAACAGAGTCCCAGGGTCACAACAAGTTGGAGAGAGACTCGACAAATGGGACTACCTTAAAATAAAAAGCTTCTGCACAGCTAAATCTATCGCAACTAAGCTAGAAAGACAACCAACTAATTGGGAAAAAATATTTACCAGCAATATATCAGACAAGGGGTTAACATCCTGTATATACAGGGAACTCAAGAAACTAATCCCTCCCAAACCTAACAAACCAATTACTAAATGGGCAAGGGAACTAAAGAGGGACTTCTCAAATGAAGAAATAAAAATGGCAAAGAAACACATGAGGAAATGTTCATCATCCCTGGTGGTGAAGGAAATGCAAATAAAGACAACCCTGAGATACCACCTTACCCCAGTCAGAATGTCCCACATCCACAAATCAGCCAACGACAAATGCTGGAGGGGATGTGGAGAAAGAGGAACCCTATTACACTGCTGGTGGGAATGTACACTTATACAACCACTTTGGAAAGCAGTCTGGAGGGTCCTTAGAAAGCTAAAGATTGACCTCCCTTACGACCCAGTCATACCACTTCTAGGCATCTACCCTGAACAACAGGAACCAATATACAAGGACACGTGCACCTCCATGTTTATTGCAGCACTGTTCGCAATAGCTAGGATATGGAAACAACCTAGGTGCCCCACCACAGATGAATGGATCCAAAAATTGTGGTATCTATACACAATGGAATATTATGCAGCCATTAGAAATGACAAAATAATGGCATTTGCAGGGAAATGGATGGAGCTAGAAGGAATCATGTTGAGCGAGGTAAGCCAAGAACGAAGAGACAAACGGTACATGGTCTCCCTCATAAGTGGATGCTAAATCCAAAAGGTTAGTGATACGACAAAACTAACAGGACTTAAGAAACAAAGAACTCCCGCTCATCTGGTTGAACCACTACTAAATATCCTCATGCTGCTGATCACAAATATGGTATATAACATGTGAACACTGTTATATATTACAGACTGTGGTAGACAATTTGCTCCAGGGAAGTTAGAATGAACTTGTGACTTTGAAATTATGTAATCATTTAATCACAATCAAAAAAAAAAAAAAAAAAAAAAAGAACCTCGGGGAAGGGAGGGAGGGAGGGGATGGTAGGGGGAAAACAATGGAGGGGGTAAAAAAAAAAAAAAAAAAAAAAAAAATATAATCAAGTAGTTTCAGATGCAGATAAAAGATTGATTCAATGTATTAGAGAAGGAAAAATTGCAATTAACCCATCGATGCCCAACAAGTGCTATAAAAACCCACACCTATGGAAGGACTGGCGGATCGTGACTGTGACCCGAGCTACCTGGAGGCTGGAATTGGGAGAAGGGTAGCGTGGGGGGATGGTTGTTGAGATCCACAGATGGGTATGGTGGCACACGCCCGTGCCAGGAGCTATGAGGGGAAGCCTGACACAGGTGGACAGCGTCCCGGCCTCCGCAGGTGGCACTCTACCTAAAAATGACTAGCACCACAAAACCCCATACATCACACGAGGACTTCAGTTCACACCTGGGTACCGCCAGCCAGCCAGCCAGCCAAAACCCCAACGCTGGCTGAGGTGAGGACACAGAGGCCTCCACCCTTGTATGGTGTTAGGAGATGGCTCAGGGTCAGCCTGGAAGCAATGGCCATAGGAGCTGCCCAGCCGCGGCTCGCCTGGGGCCCAGGTGCACTTCTTTGCTGGCCATGGCTTGTGGCTCCTGGAAGTCGCACCGCTGGCCCCACAGCCCATAGCCCTGGCCCCTGCTCCTGCCATGACGTCACCTCTTCCTTCTTCTGGTCGGCCTTCTGCTTTTTCTGCTGGATGAGGTTCTGTCGGGCCAGAACGGCCTCCAGATGGCTCAGCTTGCCCTGCAGCCGTCGGCACTCGCCTGCAGCCAGCTGCTCCTCCCGGTCCTTTGCCTGCATCTTCTCCTGCCACTTGAGAAACTCGGAGAAGTCCCCGCACCCATCCATCAGCTTGTCAACCCTGAGGGGAGGGGCAGAGGCGCTGCTGGGGTTCCTCCTCTGGTCAGGGGTACCAGGAGGCCACAGACTCCCTGGGGGCTGTGGTAGGCTCAGCTGACCCAGGGGCAGCGCTCGCCTCCCTCCTACCAGCCACCTGCTCCTTCTGTGCATCTGCCCACCAGCCACCTCCTTCTTTCCACCTGTCTGGCCACCTGTTCATGTACCTGGTAAGCCACCTAAGTTCTCACCTTCAGCCCAACTCATAGACATGGGAGGGGGAGCTGGCTGGTGGTGGGAGGGCCAACAGGAAGGAACCCGGGTCCCCTTCCCCAAGTCCTGCCAAGTCTTTTCCTGCACCAAGCTGGGACTATACCGTCAGGTGTGGCCCCGAGCTGACGCATTCTGCTTGCCACCCAACCTCAGCCGGCCACAGCCTGGACAGGATCCCTGCGATGCCGTAAGGAGGGGAAGTTCGGACTTCCCCTCCTGCTTCCTGCCATCCTGGGAGCGTCTCCATGCTGATGGGCTTACTTCTGGGTGGCTGCCCCTCACTAGGTCCAGGATGGGACTCCCCGCCCCTAGGAGGGGGCAGAGCTGAGGGCTGAGCGGGCCCGCATGTCAGAGATGCCACCCACTGTGTCTGTGTGGTGAGGCCTCCACAGCAGCCGGAAGCATCAGGGCCTGTATGAGCGTCTGGGCTGTCCACAGGCAGCGGGCCCTGGAGGCCCGTGCGCCTGGACAGGACACAAAAACCGCGGCCCTCTCCCCTGCCTGTCCTGCACGCCCCTCCACTGGTGCGCTTCGTAATCATCTTTATGGTGAATGGGTACGTTAGTAAATACATGCGTCTCCTGAGTTCTGTGAGCCCCTGGACAGAAAAGCTCGCCAAGCTCCTCAATCCCTAGTTGGGTGTGCCTGAGCCTGTCATCTAGTTGGGGGCCAGGGACTGGGTGGCTCGGTAATTCTTGCAGGGAGAAGTACACCGGTCTATAGTGTTTCTTCTACACCATCTCCCTCTTTCTCCCCCTCCATGGTCACAAGACCAGGGCTGAGCCGCAAGTGCCGGACTCAGATGATTCCAAGCAAGAAAGCCAGAATAGTGGTTTTAAACTTCATGTTGAGAATTCGTGAGGTCCTGGGGGAGGGGGGGAGGCCTGCGCTGTCTGGCATGTCAGAGGTCTCTGAGGGGAGGCCCCTGCTAGCCTAATATTACCCCTTAAGGTCTCAAGCAGCATGATGCTGACTTCCATGTCTTTCCAAAGGCAGGAAGGTGTGAGTTTTAATGAGGGGAAGAGAGGAGAGAGTTGAGAGCAAGGAAATGAACCAACAGGTTACATAGCATGAGAATCTCTAACTCTATCTACCTATCCATACATCTATCTATCAATCCATCCATCTATCTATCATCTATCCATCTATCTATACCTCTACCCATCTATCAATCTATCTGTGCATCTTATCCTTCTGTCTATTGTCTATCCATCTATCTATCCATCCATCTATCCATCTGTCTACCTAGCTATCTATCCACCTATCTATCCATCCATCTATCATCAATCTATCCATCTATCCATCCATCTACCTATCCACCTATCCATCCATCCATCTATCTGTCCACCTATCCATCCATCCATCCATCCATCATCAATCCATCCATCCATCCATCTATCTACCCATCCATTCATCTATCTATCATCCATCTATCCATTTATTGGTCACCCACTGGAGACACAGCAGTCTGCAGCTCTTCTGCTTGCCAGGCCCAGGCTTTGTCTCAAAGACGAGCACCCTGCAGCAAGGCCATGCCATCTTGGCTTCTGGAAGGGTGAGGCACGGGTGGCCTGACCCACTGCTGCTTTAGGACCTGACCGAACCTGACCAGATGGGATGGACGCTCGAAGGCCTCCACCCCCACCCCACTCCTGGGAGCCACCTTTGATGTGAGGACAGCCGGGCTACGGGCTGACTACTCAGTGGGAATTTAGTATCGTGGCAGTAACAGCATCGCTTGAGTTGTAGGTCCTTTTCCTGCAAGGGGTCAGAGTCTGAAGACTGGGAGTGGGCTGTGACGCATGGGCTTGCGTCTGGCTCCCTCCGCTGCCTTAGGCCAAAGCTGGTCCCACCACCCCCAACCCGGAACGGGAGAAATAAGGGTGAGCAGACCTCCCCACCAGAGGTCACAACTGCACACAAAGCCTTCAGAGAAGCCACGGGACGTGGCTGAGGGTCTCCCCCCACAGGACGTGGCCGAGGGTCTCCCCCCACAGGACATGGCCGAGGGTCTCCCCCCCATGGGACGTGGCTGAGGGTCTCCCCCCCACGGGACGTGGCCAAGGGTCTCCCCCCACTCCACAGGACATGGCAGAGGGTGTTCCCCCCACCCCATGGGACGTGGCCAAGGGTCTCCCCCACGGGACGTGGCTGATGATCTTCCCCCATGGAATGTGGCCGAGGGTCTCCCCCCCCCACAGGACGTGGCCCAGGGTCTCCCCCCACCCCATGGGACATGTCCGAGGGTCTCCCCCCATGGGACATGGCCAAGGGTCTCCCCCCCAAAGGACACGGCCGAGGGTCTCCCCCCCAAAGGACATGGCCGAGGGTCTCCCCCCCAAAGGACACGGCCGAGGGTCTCCCCCCCAAAGGACATGGCCAAGGGTCTCCCCCCATGGGACGTGGCCGAGGGTCTCCCCCCCCACAGGACGTGGCCCAGGGTCTCCCCCCATGGGACGTGGCCGAGGGTCTCCCCCCACCCCATGGGACATGTCCGAGGGTCTCCCCCCATGGGACATGGCCGATGGTCTCCCCCATGGGACGTGGCCGATGGTCTCCCCCCACCCCACGGGACGTGGCCGATGGTCTCCCCCCCAAAGGACGTGGCCAAGGGTCTCCCCCCATGGGACGTGGCCGAGGGTCTCCCCCCACCCCGTGGGACATGTCCGAGGGTCTCCCCCTATGGGACATGGCCGATGGTCTCCCCCCATGGGACATGGCCGATGGTCTCCCCCATGGGACGTGGCCGATGGTCTCCCCCCCAAAGGACGTGGCCAAGGGTCTCCCCCCACGGGACGTGGCCGATGGTCTCCCCCACGGGATGTGGCCGAGGGTCTCCCCCCACCACACGGGACGTGGCCGAGGGTCTCCCCCCCAAAGGACGTGGCCGAGGGTCTCCCCACACAGGACGTGGCCGAGGGTCTCTCCCCCACGGGACGTGGCCGATGGTCTCCCCCACGGGATGTGGCTGAGGGTCTCCCCCCACCACAGGGGATGTGGCCGAGGGTCTCCCCCCCAAAGGACGTGGCCGAGGGTCTCCCCCCACCCCATGGGACGTGTCCGAGGGTCTCCCCACACAGGACATGGCCGAGGGTCTCTCCCCCACGGGACGTGGCCGAGGGTCTCCCCTGCAGATGGAGGATGCTGGTGGCTCCTGGCCCTGCCACCTGGTCCTGTACATCTTTTTGTTTGTTTATTTGTCAGTGGTGGGGCCTGAACTCTGGGTCTGGGCGCTGTCCCTCAGCTCTTCAGCTCAAGGCTGGTGCTCTACCACTGGAGCCACAGCGCCACTTCCGGCTTTTTTCTTTTTGCTTATGTGGTGCTGAGGAATCGAACCCAGGGCCTCAGGCATGCAAGGCAAGTGCTCTACCACTGAGCCACCTTCCTAGCCCCAAAACTCTTTTTTTTTTTTTTTTGGTCTGGTCGTGGGGCCTGAACTCTGGGCCTAGGCACTGTCCCTCAGCTCTTCAGCTCAAGGCTAGCGCTCTACCACTTGAGCCACAGTGCCACTTCCGGCTTTTTTTACTTTTTGCTTATATGGTGCTGAGGAATCAAACCCAGGGCCTCATGCATGCAAGGCAAGCACTCTACCACTGAGCCACCTTCCCAGCCCCCAGCCCCACATGTTTTTATCTGTGGTAAGTGTGTCCCTGAGTTCCGTGAGCCTCAGGGAAACCATGGCTTCTAGTCCACGCATCTGCTGGCACTCCCGGGACATGTCCCAGGGATGAGAACGGAATTTGGTTTTCCCCTCATCGTCTTGGTGGGGCCAGAGCGAGGCAGAGGAGGAGACCCCGCCCCCCGCCCCCCCCTCACCACCCCCCTGCCCCCGCTCACCGCCCCCCCCCCCCCCACTCACCGCTGCAGCTCTTTCTCTACTTGCCGCTGGTATAAAGCGCCTTCCCGCAGGATGGTGGCTGTGTTCAGCTTCACCGGGATGTTGTCAGGCTGTGAGAGAGCGCATAGTTGGCTGCAAGGGGCGGAAGCCAGGGCCCCACCATCCTGCCCTCCCTGCTGGCCCAGGCGCTTTCCCCGGGGCTCCAAGGGCAGAGGGCAGAACAGGTGGGAAGGGGTGCCCGTGAGAGGCCTGACCGGCCGGGGCCCCTCACCCACCCTGTAGAAGGTCAGCTTTGGAGTCCTTTGGATGCGGGGTGCAGGTCGAAACTTCAGCTGCTTCCTGGAGCCCTGTGGAAGTCAGGCAGGGACGCCCCGGCACCTGTGCCTGCTGGGTGCACCCAAGTCTGCCCCCCCCTTCACTCCAGCGTTTCCCCTTGGACTTAGCCTTAGGGCTCCTCCTTGGCCACCCATCAGAGCTAGCCGCTGGCCCTCTCCTGGGCTGCTCCCAGGCTTCTAGCTCAGGCCTCTCCTTCTGCCCCGTGACTCATGGGGGCACCTCAATCCTCAGTGTGGGGAAGGGCTGGTTAGAGTGCCCCTCCCCCTTCGTGTCCAGGCCCGCTCAGCTGCCGGGGAGGACCTCAGGCCGCCTCTGCAGATCCTCCTGCCCAGGCAGGCGTGGGGCCGCGGGTCCTGCTCCCTGCCTCCTCTCGGGCACCCTCCCCGCTCTGGCTTCATAGGCACTCCCACACAAGCGCACACGGCCTCTTCGTCTGCTCCAGAATCAGGTTCAGTGTCAGTCCATGATGCCTGTAAGCTGTGTATCGTGTCACCACTGAAATCGTTTTGAGAATTTTTTTTTTTTTTTTTGGTCAGTCATGGGGCTTAACTCTGGAGGGCCTGGGCGCTGTCCCTCAGCTCTTCAGCTCAAGGCTAGCGCTCTACCACTTCTAGTTTTCTGGTGGTTAATTGGAGATAAGTGTCTCGCAGACTTTCTTGCCAGGCTGCTTTGAAGTGGGATGCTCAGATCTCAGCCTCCTCTGTAGCTAGGATTACAGGTGTGAGCCACCAGCACCCGGCAGGAAGAACTGGAGTTTGTATTCAGGGCCTTGTACTTGTTAGTCTAGAGCTCTACCACTTGAGCCATGCCTCCAGCTTGGCTTTTTGCTGGTTATTTTTAGAGATGCAGTGCTCTTCTCTCCAAGCTAGCCTTGAATCTCAATCCTCTAGATCTCAGCCTCCTCAGTAGCTAGGATTATTGGCGAGAGCCACTAGTACTCAGCTTGGGAGGAATGTTTTTTTTTTTTTTTTTGGGTCCAGTCGTGGGCCTGAACTCTGGGCCTGAGCGGCGCTATCCCTCAGCTCTTCAGCTCAAGGCTAGCGCTCTACCACTTGAGCCATAGCGCCACTTCTGGCTTTTTTCTTTTTTCTTATGTGGTGCTGAGGAATCGAACCCAGGGCCTCATGCATGCAAGGCAAGTGCTCTACCACTGAGCCACCTTCCCAGCCCGGGAGGAATGTTTTGACAATGTAAAAAACCCTCACTTCAAAGACTGGCCTCCACCGGAAAGCTGTTTTTACCTGTGCTGGCCGCTCCTTATGGGCCCTGGGCATGGCGCACTGCAGCTCCTCCATGTTTGCCCTCAGCAGCAGCTCCTGCAAGGACACCACAAAACGTGTCCTGCTGGCTCCCACCCAGTCAACTTGGGCCATGGGGAGGGAAGTGCGTGCTGGCCCCCTGTGTGCCCCATCTCCTCTCTGCCTCCCCGCCCTCCATTAACAGATCCCCATGGGACTCCTAGGGAGGGGGAGGTTGGGGGTGGCTACCTCAGCCTTCCTGCGGTTGTATGTCTTGACCATCTGCAACAGCTGCTGCTTCTTAGGCTCCTGGTAGGTGCTCTGTGGAATCTGGTGGGGTGGGGGGAGAGCAGACCCATGTCAGTAACTGGAGAGTCGGTCAGCAGGTGCCTTGCAGTCTGGAGCCGAGGGCGAGCGCGGGATGGGGGATGGGGTGGGCAGAGGGGGCTGCAGGTCCAGCGCTGGGGCTGCATGTCACCAGCCGAGGAGACGGCCAGCTCTGCTGCTAAAAGAACAGAGGCCCACATGGTCTTCTCTTCCCAGGAGGCTTCTCCTGGCCACGTTGCAGAATCATAACTGACCTCTTATCTCCTTTATTTGCATTACTTTTTCTTACCAACGTGTCACTTACCGTGTGTGTGTGTGTGTGTGTGTGTGTGTGTGTGTGTGTGTGTGTGTGTGTAAGTCGGCCCTGGAGCATTAACTCCGTGCAGGTCTAGTGTCTGCATATCTCAGGCACTCAGAACTATGGGTGGGTAAGCAGGCTGGGGTACGCTGGCCAAAGGAGCCCTGTGAACAGGTGAGGCCAGGGAGGGAGGGGGTCAAACCTCCGTCCCAGGACTGTTCTCTGTCCCAGGACTGTCATCTTGGACCTCAGAGGAAGAAGAAGAAGACAGCCACCAACATCCCACAGTGAGGGACACATGGCTGTGCCTGGCTGAGCAAAGAGAGGGAGAGGTGACTAGCAGATTGACGTGGAAAGGAGAAAGGTCCCTGGGGAGATGCGGTTTGACAGGCTGAAGATCTGAAGTTGGGGTAATTGTGGAGCTACTTAACAATTCATTCATTCATCCACCCATCCACCCAGCTACCCACCCACCCATCCATCCATCAACCCACCCAACCACCTACCCATCATCACTCACCCATCCATCCATCAACCCACCAACCACCTACCCATCACCCACCCATCCATCAACCCACCAACCACCTACCCATCACCCACCCATCCATCAACCCACCAACCACCTACCCATCACCCACCCATCCATTAACCCACCAACCACCTACCCATTATCACCCACCCATCCATCCTCCCACCCATCCATCAACCCACCAACCACCTACCCATCACCCACCCATCCATCAACCCACCAACCACCTACCCATCACCCACCCATCCATTAACCCACCAACCACCTACCCATCACCCACCCATCCATTAACCCACCAACCACCTACCCATCACCCATCTATCCATCAACCCACCCAACCACTTACCCATCATCACCCATCCATCAACCCACCAACCACCTACCCATCACCCACTCATCCATCAACCCAGCCATCAACCCAGCTATCCTCCCACCCATCCATCAACCCAGCCATCAACCCAGCTATCCTCCCACCCATCCATCAACCCACCAACCACCTACCCATCACCCACCCATCCATCAAGCCACCAACCACCTACCCATCACCCACCCATCCATCAACCCACCAACCACCTACCCATCACCCACCCATCCATCAACCCACCAACCACCTACCCATCACCCATCTATCCATCAACCCACCAACCACCTACCCATCACCCACCCATCCATCAACCCACCAACCACCTACCCATCACCCACTCATCCATCAACCCACCAACCACCTACCCATCACCCACCCATCCATCCTCCCACCCATCCATCAACCCACCAACCACCTACCCATCACCCACCCATCCATCAACCCACCAACCACCTACCCATCACCCACACATCCATCCACCCAGCCATCCACCCAGCTATCCTCCCACCCATCCATCAGCCTACCCATCCACCTACCCATCACCCACCCACCCATCCACCAACCCACCAGCCACCTACTTCTCACCCACCCATTCATATACCCACCACCCATTCATATACCCACCCACCTACCCATCCATCCATCAATCCTCATATCTACGGATCCATCCATCTACCCACTCATATCTACTCAACCATTCATCCATATATCTTCCTACCCATGCACTCACCCACACAGCCATCTATCCATCTACCCATTCATCCATCTACCCTACCATTTGTCAATACAAGTATTTACTAAGGATCTGTTCTGAGTTGGGAATATTCTAGCAGCATTAGGAATGTGGAACGATAAGAGAGGTGGTGTCTGGCACAGGAAATAGAGAGTAGGCAGCTCTACAAAGTAGTAAACACGAACTATTGAATGATATGAAGAAAAAGAGCTGGGGGTCAGTGAGAAGGAAACCCCGTGGGAGACACAGTAGATGTGGTGGTTTGTGAAGTTTCTGGGCTGAAAGGATGGTGGGACCAGGGTGGAAACTCCCAGGATCCCCAGCACGATCCCCTCCTGCTCCTGTAACCGCCCTTGGTTTTGTGGGGTCCTAGACTGGCTTTGGGAAGCTGGGTGACAGAGGTTGGCCCAGGGCCAATCAGGACATTGCAGACTGGGGCTGGTCCAATTAGATTTTTCCCCCCAGAATTCTTGGCCTACACTGGTCTCTCATGCTCTTGTACACTAAGAGCTCAGGGCTGAGAGTTCTTAATACCATGAAGAATCTAGCCCAGAGATGAAGCCTACGTGCAGAGGAGTCAAGGACAGAGAAAGTCACAGAAAAATAGAGCTGGAACCTTAATCAAACTATCCCTGGAGCCTGCCCTTCTTTAACCATGAAGCCAGTGGTCTACTATTAAATCAGTATGAGCACGTTTATCTATTACTGCAGCATGGGAATGGGCCCAGGGAATGTTGCACGTGGATGCAACACAGACTCCAGGCTCCATTCCTATACAAGTCAGAGCCTGCAGCCAGCAGCTTCATGCAGCACCTACTGGCACAACCCAGAACAACCAGGTGCCCTTCTGAAGGCAGGCAGTCAGTGAGCAACGGCTCCTGGCCTGGACAGACGCCCCTCCCCCCACTGGCCCCTCAGCACACTCTCCCAGGCTGGACATCCTGGGCCCTGAGCAGATGCCTGGCTTACCTGGTGGGGATGGGCCACATCAGGGATGGGCTCAGGTGCTGGAATGGCACGGGGCTTGGGAATGGTCAGGTTGAACTCCTTGGGGGTTGTGGCCTTGATCTTGGTCTTTGAGGGAAATGAGGTAGTGGCTGACTCTCCCTCCAGCTGGCTGACCAGCTCCTGTACCTCTGGCTGCCATCTTGAAAGTAAAAGCGGAGAAGGCCCTGGAGGTCACCAAATCAGGTCGCTCTGAGGGCCAGGTGGCGATGGATGGACACCACTTTCCACTGGCCACCCCTTGTGGGTGCAGCAGAGCCTCAGGACCCCCTTCACAAGTGAGTCAACTGAAGCCCAGAGGCCCGGGCAGGGGGGTCGGAGACCAGAAGGTCCACGCTGCAGGAATCTGGGGCACTCTGACCATGAGCAGCTGCTGGGCTGTGAGCTAATCTAGGCAAAGCAGATGACCTGGACCGAGGACACTGAGAGCTTGTGATGGGGGAGGAATGCTGGAGGGCTGTGGAGGTGGGGAGAGGAAGGGCCTGCGTCCTCCCACGCAGCCTCCATGGCCGGCTCTGGGGCCGGAGCTCGGGTAGGGCCTCTCAAGACCATGTCACCCCACCACCAGCCTGTCCAGTGTTCTCTCCTGCAATTGGGTCATCTAGAGACCTAGGGCACAGAGAGGAGGGGGGCTGGAGTGTGGGCAGGGCGGAAGGCTCTCAGGAGGCCACTGTTGGCCTGGGCCAGGGCTCCCATCTTTGGGGCAGGAGGGTTGTGGTTGCCGAGCTGGCTGGTGAAGCCAGGCAGGGGGCCAGGGTCTGTCTGTCCCCTCAATCCATTGGAGGCTTTCCTGCTTGCGGGCCCCAGGGCCCACAGAGCCGCAGGACCTCCCTTGGCAAAGCAGAGCTCACTGCAGGATGCAGAGCTGCCCCCACACGGCTGTCATGTAAGAGGCCGTCTGCCGGTCTGTCCCAGGGAGACAAGGTGATGAGGTTCTCTGTGGGGGGGAGGGGTTCCCAGCAGCACCCTGGAGCCCATCCTCTGCCCCCCCTTGGGCTGTGGGACTGGCTGCGCCTGTGACTGCCCTGAGCCTCCCAGGCTGATCTCTCTCAGGGGTCCGGTGAGCAGAAGGTGGCAAGCAGGTCCCATGCCCGCCGAGGCTCGAATGGGGTCAGGCGGCAGCCGCCCGGCCCGGCCCACCTCAACAGGGGATCAATCCAGTTCTTGGTCACGTGGGTCGCCTCATACACGAGGCTCCATTCGTCCTTGATCCACAAGCACAGGTTTAGCGGGCTGAAGAAAAATCTGAGGAACTGAGCAGGAGAGTCATGAGGGGGGGGGACCCGGCCTACAGGGGAATCAGAGCAGGGTAGGGCATTTGGGGTTCCAGCCCTGCAGACAACCAAAGACACCACCCCATCAGGACCACCCCTCCTCCTGTGGCACCTGTGGGAAAGCGGCCAGACCCCAGCCTGCCTGTGCTAGCTCAATTGGCAGTTGTGTTCCACCCTGCTCCCAGTACCCAGAAGGCACACTTTGCACTCCAGAGCAAGCTGTGGGGCGGGGGGGGGGGGGGGGGGGGAGAGGGGTCCTCCCACAGTGGGCTCTGGAATTCCAGGAATGAAACTACCATTTTCTACAACCTGGGCCTACTGCCGCTCATTGCCGGTATTGGGGAGCCGGGAGACCCCACTGGCCCTGGCCCTGGCCCTGGCTGGCGTGCCGGGTGGCCCTGTGGTGTCCTTGGATGGCTGGAGCCAGTCTCGGTGGCAATGCCAGCGTGGTGGCCATCTGCAGGCTGCCTTCCGGCTCTTGTTCCCAAGTCTGACTGCTCTAGCTCGGGAAGGCGTGGGGCTGGCTCAGCCCTGCAAGGGGGAGCCAGCACCTTGGGGTGCTGCACGGTGACCCTGCCCTGCATGGCCGGGGCAAAAGCTCAGCCACCAGCCTTTGCTTGGGAGGCCGTTGAAGCTTGGGTCCCCTGAGGGCCACCTGAGGGGGGCCCATCCACTTGAGGGAGCACTGGAAACCCCTTCATGGAAGGCAGGGGTCTGACACAGAGGCCACCAGAACGGGACCCCACCCCAGCCCGGCCTGCCCCTGCGGCAGGGAGCACAACTGGAAGAAGACTGGAGCTGTGGCCAGATGGCCTCTGACCCCTGCTGACCACCTAGCCTCCTGCCTCCTGCCTCTTCTTGGCCCCCATGCCCACCAAAGCAACTCAGGCAGCCTGCTCCCTGCACCCCCTGCTTCCTCCCCCTTTCCTGCTCGCTCTGGGCTCCTGTGGGCCAGGCTGTCCTGCCCACTGGCTTGCGTCACGGCACGCTGTCTCCAGCTCCTTGTCAGCTGGGCTGCTGCCCCCTCCCCAGAGCAGGCCCTGCAAAGCCACATTCCCACCAGGGACACTGCTGCAGTGGAGGCAGGTGTGAAATATTCCCTGGCTGTGGGAGGATTCGTAGCTGTGTGTGTGTGTGTGTGGGGGGGGGGTGGTCCTGGCAGGCAGCAGGAATCCCACAACCACACCTCCCAAAATGGTGGACCGTGCTTTCTGTGGAGGCTGCATGTGGCGTTCCCCACAGTGGCACCTCTGAGAGACCATCTTGGCCACCATGGCCCCTCTCCACCCACCTTGCCCTTCCAGGGAGCTCCCTTGGTGCCCCTGCATGGCAGTGCCAGCCAGATGCGGTTGCAGCTTTATATACGAGCACCTGGGGCTGGCAGGCCTGCTGCTGGATCTTCAGGACCCCGTGGGCATGATCCTCAGTCCTGCCGGCCTCCCCAGCCTCCCCGAGGGAGGGAAGACTGGGGAGGGGGAGGGGGAAGGGTGTGAAGGGCTCACACTACCTAGCTGAGGACCAGCGCTGTGGGCAGTGGCAGATCACTAACAATGGAAAGCCTACACCCTCCCTGACAACAGGAATCCGAATCAGATTGTCCCCAGGACAAGCATGCATTCTCCCCAGCAGAGGCTGAAGCCTGATTTAATGCAGGGTGAATCTACCAGGGTTCTCTCCTCAGACAGACCAGATAGGTGACGGGCGGGCAGCGGAGCAGACCCACCTCTGCCCGGTTCCTAGGTCTCTCTGGCTAGCACCGGCCCTGCCCCTAGCAGTCATGGTGGACTCACCTTGGATGTCTTGCTTGCAGACTGGGACTTGATGATGCTGCAGAAGAGCTGAAAGCCCAGCTCCTCCATCTGGAAGGTGGCCAGGTAGCAGATCACTGAGGGAAGAGACCCTGTGAAGGTTTCCGCTCTGCAGGGGACTCTGGCTTGTAACCCTGGGGCTGGGGGGCAGGAGGGGGTGGAGCTCTGTCCAAGGCTGAAGGCTTTAGGGTGTAGGGGACCAGCCAACGCTGTCTGAAAGCTGGGTGCTGGTAGCTCACACCTATAATCCCAGCTACCCAGCCACTCGGGAGGCTGAGATCTGAGGATCAAGGTTTGAAACTAGTCTGGGGAAGAAAACCCCAAGAGACGCTAATCTCCAATTAACCAGCAAAACAAAAACAAAAACCAAACCCCAAAGTGGAGCTGTGGTTGGAGTGGTAGAGTGCCAGCCTTGAGTGAAAAAGCCAAGAGAGAATTTAAGGCCCTGAGTACAAGGCCCAGCACAGTTACAAACAACCAGAAAAACTGGCTGGGGGCCTCTGCGGCTGCTCCACGCATCGCCTCATTTGATCGGCTTTCAGAGACCCCCAAGGGCTCTGGGACAAGAGTGAGGTGATTTCTGGCCAGTTGCTGGCGCTGAGAGGTTAGGTGGCCTCAGCGCCAGGGCCGGGAGCTCTGGGTTTCTCTGAGGGGGCGTGGGGCACTCCTCTGACCCCCAGCTGGTTAGCTCCCTAGGTCCACCTCCCCGCAGCCCCTGCCTCCTCTTCACCCCCAGGGCCGGGCAGCCCCACCAAGGGACCACCCCACGTGCCACCCTGGTGCTGTCTACAAAGGTCATGTCTGGAGCTACCCAAAGTGGGCAGAGCCAGGCAGGAGTGGAGGCAGGACAGAAGCAGCCTCAGAGGAGGCATTACCTCCCCACCCCACCCCAAACTGGCCTCAGGGGCACCCTTTCTCTGCCAGGCCAAAGACTGCTTGTCTGGAGCTGAGCTTTCCACGAGCCTGAAGTGTCCGTTTCCCCGGGATGGGGGTGGGGTGAGGACACACCCCAGCCCGGCCACGGAGGGCAAAGTAAGGGGAGCAGCCACTGTGTCAAGGGTCTGTGGCTGCCAGCTTGCCTTGCCCTGGGGACACTCACCTAGGAACAGGTTGTAGTCAGCCCACAGGGAGAACCGGCCATCTCGCACATAGAAGGCATCTACCACAATAGTCAGCAACTTCCGATACTCAAGGCAGCCAGAAAGAACTTCTAAGATGAAGGACCGCTTCTGGGCACTCAGATCCTGGAAGGGAAACAGCAGGCTGGGCAGGGGCCATCTGAGCACAGGACCCCCGGCGCTGGGCCACGGGAGGGCAAGGTGGGCCTGGGGGTGAGATAAATGTGGGAAATGAAGAGTGGACGTGACAAGAACAGGTAGTGTATACATATTCTGGCCTGGAGCAGGGAGGGAGCAGAGGCTCAGGGTTCGATGGTGATGGAGCTTCAGTTTGGGAAGGTGAAAATGTGGAGATGAACAGCCGTGACCTCACACAGCATGGAATATTCTTAATATCACTAGACACTTGAAAATGGCTAAAAGGAGCCAGTCACTGGTGGCCTGTGATTGTAAACCTAGCTACTCAAGAGGCTGAGTTTGAAGATCAAGGTCAAAATCAGCCTAGCCAGACAAATCTTTAAGAATCTTATCTCCTTGGGGCTGGGAAGGTGGCTCAGTGGTAGAGCGCTTGCCTTGCATGCCTGAGGCCCTGGGTTCAATTCCTCAGCACCACATAAGAAAAAAACCGCAAGTGGCACTGTGGCTCAAGTGGTAGAGTGCTAGCCTTGAGCTGAAGAGCTGAGGGACAGCACCCAGGCCCAGAGTTCAGGCCCCATGACCGGACCCCCCCCCAAAAAAAAGAATCTTATCTCCAATTAGCAAAAAGCCAGAACTAGAGGCATGGCTCAAGTGAAGGGCTACCAGCTATCAGTGGAAAGCTGAGTAAGAGTGTAAGGCCCTGACTTAAAGCCCCAGGTCTCGCTCAAAGCAAAACAGAAGAAAATAATAATTTAAAAAGTGAGCACATATACAAGTTTTTAAATGAAAACGTCTCAGGAATTCAAATCAAATGAACAAAAAGTTACTCCAGAGAATGATGCACAAACAAGGAAAATGGGCAAGATGTTGTTCTGTGCCAAAAGCAAGGGACCGGGGCAAGGCTGAAACTCGGCAGAAGGCATCTCAGAGGAAAGCTGCTCAGATGGTGGTGGTCAGGAAGCAGGGAGAGGGAGGGAGGGAGAGAGGGAGAGTCCTCTCCTGATCCAGCCACTTCCCAGAGCCCCACCTCTAAACGCTGCACTTGCAACTCACAAATCTTCCAAGGCCAACATGATCTGGGCATGACATCTGTTAATCATTTTAAAAAGCAGTAAGGCCTCAAATTAGGTTTTGAAAAATAATTCAGTTTGAAGGAGAGAGAAGAGGAGGAGGCCTGGCACTGGCAGCCTAGCCCCGAGAATCTGCTGCCAAGTCTCTCCTGAGGGCAGTGTGCAAAGCGGTTCTCAGAGCCTTGTTTTCCAGATCTTTTGACCCTGTGATCACACTCTGGGAACCTAAGGAAGGCACCCACGTGGAGATCTCCACCTGCCGATGTTTACAGTGGTGGTTGCTCAGCTGTAGGATGGAAGTAGATGCCTCCATGGGTCCAACCCTCTCTCCCTACCACAGGTGAGTACAATACCGCCAGTAAAAGGAAACCACTGGAAAAGTTTCAAGGAGATACAAAGCAGTTAACACAAGTGGGAGTGTGGGCCAGGGTGTGGGGTGGGCAACGTTGCCTCCGTCCTGGCCGCTCCTCTCCACTCAGCCTTCCCTGTGCTTGGCCTGTGTGCTGCCTGCCGCCCCTTTAACACATCCTGTCCTGTCAAACCACCTCCACCAAAGGAAAGGCTGCAGCTCACATAAGAACGTTCTTCTTAGAGAACTAGTTATTGTAAAAACTTCCTTTTGTGGTCCATGCATGAAGCCAGGGCCTCCTGCACGCTAGGCAAGCTGAGCTACAACTGAGCCACATCACTGCTCATCTAGAAACGCTGGGTGGGGTGCTGAAGGCTCATGCCTGTAATCCTAGCTACAAAGGAGGCTGAGGTCAGAAGATCACAGTTGGAAATCGGCCTGGGCAGGGAAGTCTGAGCCCTCTTACCTCACACCAGGCACGGGACGCTGGCGGCCTTGGCTGCCCTAATTTATAGACACAACCTGTTTTTGGTGCTTGGACACTTGTTACCTCACAGCCAGTTGGCTTGAGGACTTAGCTCTCTCCCAGCTGCTCCTCTCTCTCTCCTTGGTCTGTCTTTTTGTTGTTGTTGTTGTTGTTATGGGGTTTGAACTCAGGGCCTGGGCACTGTCTCTGAGCTTTTTTGCTCGACTGGCATTCTACCAGTTTGAGCTACAGCTGGTTTGCTGGTGGTTCATTGGAGATAAGAGTCTCATGGACTTTCCTGCCTGGCCTGGCTTTGAACTGTGATCCTCAGACCTCAGCCTCTGAGTAGCTAAGATGACAGGTATGAGCCACCAGTGCCTGGCTCTGGGGGATTCTTTTTTTTTTTTTTGGTCAATCATGGGGCTTGAACTCTGGGCCTGAATGCTGTCCCTCAGCTCTTCAGCTCAAGGCGAGCGCTCTACCACTTGAGCCACAGCGCCACTTCGGGTTTTCTGGCGGTTTATTGGAAATAAGAGTCTCGTGGACTTTCCTGCCCGGGCTGGCTTTGAACCGTGATCCTCAGATCTCAGCCTCCTGAGTAGCTAGGATGACAGGCATGAGCCACCGGCACCCAGCTTGGGGGATTCTTTAATGTTGGAAGTCCTATCATGTCTGCTATTCATAGAACCTCACAATGACTAATGAAGTCCTGACTGGGCTGGCCCAGCTCCCTGAGCCCCTACCACCCTGGCTTTGGCCCAGTCACACCAGCCCCTTCCATTTCCTGGACATGCCGGCGTCCCCTGGACCTGCAGGTGCCCCCTGGACGTGCTAGTGCCCCCTGGCGGCCTCCACACAGGGTCGGGATCTTTGCCTGAGTGTTTCTGGGCACAGTGGCTTCCGCCAGTCCTGGGTGGGCAGTCCTGGCCACTCCTAGCGTCAGACGGCCTATCCCACTTGTATAACTGGTCATTTATTGACTCTTTTCCATGCTAGAAGTCACGTGGGTGCCCGGGAGGAAGGGACTAGTGCCATCCTTCCAGTGCTGGCCTGCGGCATCCTGGGACTGCTGGCTGGGGCCGAAGCCAGTGCCCAGGCTCCCAGAACTCTGGCCTCACCTTTGGGAGCTGTCCTTGGCAGGCTGTGTTTGCTTCCCATCCCTTTGCCCAGAGCTCACCTAAGTGATTAGCATGGCGCTGGCAGCTGGCACAACCTAGGCTCACAGAACCTGCCCTGCCCACTCAGCCTGGGTTGAAAGGGGACACACACACTGTCTAACACGTGCCCTTTCTGCTCACCTCAAGCACTTCCCTCCTGGCAAGAAAGCCTTTGCGCGTCTGAGCTCCCAGGATGGTACTGTGGACCCCTCCCCACCCCCATCCTCTCAGGACCAGCCCTGAGCAAGCCTGACTTCCTTCCCACAGCCTGGCAGCTGGGCTTGGTGCTGGCACTGCCGGCAGTCGGCTGGCACCTGCACCAGAGGCCCCTGGCACAGCCGGGCTCCGGACCTGAGTCTCCTTTGAGAAGGGACAGCAAGTGAGGATGCAGCTAGCCAGGGTCAAGGGCGGTGGAGGACCCGAGAGCCGGCCAGCCACAGCGCTGGGCCTGAATTCAGCTGACCGATACCTGTGACTGGCCATCTGAAGACTGACGTCAGAATCCTGGGGCGACTGGACAGCCATCTCTCTCGCCCCTGCAAAGGTACGGTCCAGTGGGGGTGGCCGTGTGCCCCTGCAGGTCAGGCCACAGAGCCACCCTGAGAAGGGCTAGCAGATTGCTGGGTGGCTCCCAAGAAAACTCCTCAGAAGGCAGAGCCAAGCAGCACAAACCTCGAACTGCTTTCTTCCTCTCCTCCCACCCCTAAACCTGGTGTGTGAAAACAATGCCTGAAGCAAGCCAACCATTTTGAGGCTGTGAGGCAAAGGCACATTCTAAGGTTGAGTGGACGGAAAAGAGGGATGAGGGTTTTTGTTTTGTTTGTCGTTGTGGCAGGACAGACCAGCTCTCCCTATCAATCTCCTGCAGTGGGGCTTGCAAGGCGTGGCCCCCTCTCGTTGGCCTGCTCTCCTTTAAGCTCTTTTACAAGCCCCGGTTCCATTTCTCCAACCTCACTAACCACCCCGCCCTGCCCTGCCCCAGCCCATCCCGCCCCCTTGGAGGCCAGGTCTTCCTGAGCTGGGCCTCTCTCCTGCTCTGCCTCTTCCTGCTGTCCCGTGGCCCATGGTCTCCCCACTTTGGAGGCTCCTTCTGCTACCTTCCCAGCCTGTGCCTTCTTAGCCAGGCTCTTCCCCTCTGCCTCGGTGGTAGCATGGTCTTTAACTCTGCTGGGTCTGTCATGGGGCCTTCCCTTCTCTGTGCCACTTTCTCCAAATGTCCCTCTTCATCTTGGAGCTCTTCATCTTGTTTCCTCGGCATGGAGCGTGTGTCCCAGCGGTCATGCTTTGTAGGGGGGCGCTGTGTCCCGGGGTACCATCTAGCTGCCCGTCCTGTGGCCTGCTGACACTCTGCCCAACAGCTAATGTATCATTTCCTGGCACTGGACGCACAAGCCTTGGCCTAATCAATGTGGGGTGTCCTAGCGATTTCCAACAGCTCCAGATGCGTGAGTCCTCCAAGCTGGGTGGACACCAGTGTCCGGCTCTTCACCGGCGCTTCCCTGGATGGCCGGAGTCTCTCAGAAGGTTCTGCTGCACTGAACTCCAGCTCATGTGCGGGGCAGCTCCCCGGGTATGTCAGCTCTATGCATTGCATCCTTTGCCCGGTGGTTTTGGGGTGCTGGGCTCCCCATGTAAGGACGCTTTCCGTGGTCACAACATTGTGACTCATCAGTAACAAAGAGAGCATTTACCATGAATAATCCGTGCGTTATTTAAAACAATCCAAAACCACGTTCATCACCAGCCCCTTCCCTTTCATGCTGCGAGGAGACCCCTCTTCCCACCTTGGCACTGTGTGGGTGCCGTGTGGGTGCTGTGTGGGTGCCGTGTGGGTGTTGTGTGGACGCAGTGTGGGTGCTGTGTGGGTGCAGTGGGTGCTGTGTGGGTGCTGTGTGTGCTGTGTGGGTGCAGTGGGTGCTGTGTGGGTGCAGTGGGCACTGTGTGGGTACAGTGGGTGCTGTGTGGGTGCTGTGTGGGTACAGTGGGTGCAGTGTGGCTGCTGTGTGGCTGCTGTGTGGGTGCAGTGGGTGCTGTGTGGGTGCAGTAGGTGCTGTGTGGGTGCAGTGGCTGCTGTGTGGGTGCAGTGGCTGCTGTGTGGGTGCAGTGGGTGCTGTGGCTGCTGTGTGGGTGCAGTGGGTGCTGTGTGGGTGCTGTGTGGGTGCAGTGGGTGCTGTGTGGGTGCTGTGTGGGTGCAGTGGGTGCTGTGTGGGTGCAGTGGGTGCTGTGTGGGTGCTGTGTGGGTGCTGTGTGGGTCCAGTGGGTGCTGTGTAGGTGCTGTGTGGGTGCTGTGTGGGTGCAGTGGGTGCTGTGTGGGTGCAGTGGGTGCTGTGTGGGTGCTATGTGGGTGCAGTGGGTGCTGTGTAGGTGCTGTGTGGGTGCTGTGTGGGTGCTGTGTGGGTGCTGTGTGGGTGCAGTGGGTGCTGTGTGGGTGCTGTGTGGGTGCTGTGTGGGTGCAGTGGGTGCTGTGTGGGTGCTGTGTGGGTGCTGTGTGGGTACAGTGGGTGCAGTGTGGCTGCTGTGTGGCTGCTGTGTGGGTGCAGTGGGTGCTGTGTGGGTGCAGTAGGTGCTGTGTGGGTGCAGTGGCTGCTGTGTGGGTGCAGTGGCTGCTGTGTGGGTGCAGTGGGTGCTGTGGCTGCTGTGTGGGTGCAGTGGGTGCTGTGTGGGTGCTGTGTGGGTGCAGTGGGTGCTGTGTGGGTGCAGTGGGTGCTGTGTGGGTGCAGTGGGTGCTGTGTGGGTGCTGTGTGGGTGCAGTGGGTGCTGTGTGGGTGCAGTGGGTGCTGTGTGGGTGCTGTGTGGGTGCTGTGTGGGTCCAGTGGGTGCTGTGTAGGTGCTGTGTGGGTGCTGTGTGGGTGCAGTGGGTGCTGTGTGGGTGCAGTGGGTGCTGTGTGGGTGCTATGTGGGTGCAGTGGGTGCTGTGTAGGTGCTGTGTGGGTGCTGTGTGGGTGCTGTGTGGGTGCAGTGGGTGCTGTGTGGGTGCTGTGTGGGTGCTGTGTGGGTGCAGTGGGTGCTGTGTGGGTGCAGTGGGTGCTGTGTAGGTGCTGTGTGGGTGCAGTGGGTGCTGTGTGGGTGCAGTGGGTGCTGTGTGGGTGCTGTGTGGGTGCAGTGGGTGCTGTGTGGGTGCAGTGGGTGCTGTGTGGGTGCTGTGTGGGTACAGTGGGTGCAGTGTGGCTGCTGTGTGGCTGCTGTGTGGGTGCAGTGGGTGCTGTGTGGGTGCAGTGGGTGCTGTGTGGGTGCTATGTGGGTGCAGTGGGTGCTGTGTAGGTGCTGTGTGGGTGCTGTGTGGGTGCTGTGTGGGTGCTGTGTGGGTGCAGTGGGTGCTGTGTGGGTGCTGTGTGGGTGCTGTGTGGGTGCAGTGGGTGCTGTGTGGGTGCTGTGTGGGTGCTGTGTGGGTACAGTGGGTGCAGTGTGGCTGCTGTGTGGCTGCTGTGTGGGTGCAGTGGGTGCTGTGTGGGTGCAGTAGGTGCTGTGTGGGTGCAGTGGCTGCTGTGTGGGTGCAGTGGCTGCTGTGTGGGTGCAGTGGGTGCTGTGGCTGCTGTGTGGGTGCAGTGGGTGCTGTGTGGGTGCTGTGTGGGTGCAGTGGGTGCTGTGTGGGTGCAGTGGGTGCTGTGTGGGTGCAGTGGGTGCTGTGTGGGTGCTGTGTGGGTGCAGTGGGTGCTGTGTGGGTGCAGTGGGTGCTGTGTGGGTGCTGTGTGGGTGCTGTGTGGGTCCAGTGGGTGCTGTGTAGGTGCTGTGTGGGTGCTGTGTGGGTGCAGTGGCTGCTGTGTGGGTGCAGTGGGTGCTGTGTGGGTGCTATGTGGGTGCAGTGGGTGCTGTGTAGGTGCTGTGTGGGTGCTGTGTGGGTGCTGTGTGGGTGCAGTGGGTGCTGTGTGGGTGCTGTGTGGGTGCTGTGTGGGTGCAGTGGGTGCTGTGTGGGTGCAGTGGGTGCTGTGTAGGTGCTGTGTGGGTGCAGTGGGTGCTGTGTGGGTGCAGTGGGTGCTGTGTGGGTGCTGTGTGGGTGCAGTGGGTGCTGTGTGGGTGCAGTGGGTGCTGTGTGGGTGCTGTGTGGGTACAGTGGGTGCAGTGTGGCTGCTGTGTGGCTGCTGTGTGGGTGCAGTGGGTGCTGTGTGGGTGCAGTAGGTGCTGTGTGGGTGCAGTGGCTGCTGTGTGGGTGCAGTGGCTGCTGTGTGGGTGCAGTGGGTGCTGTGGCTGCTGTGTGGGTGCTGTGTGGGTGCTGTGTGGGTGCAGTGGGTGCTGTGTGGGTGCAGTGGGTGCTGTGTGGGTGCAGTGGGTGCTGTGTGGGTGCTGTGTGGGTGCAGTGGGTGCTGTGTGGGTGCAGTGGGTGCTGTGTGGGTGCTGTGTGGGTCCAGTGGGTGCTGTGTAGGTGCTGTGTGGGTGCTGTGTGGGTGCAGTGGGTGCTGTGTGGGTGCAGTGGGTGCTGTGTGGGTGCTATGTGGGTGCAGTGGGTGCTGTGTAGGTGCTGTGTGGGTGCTGTGTGGGTGCTGTGTGGGTGCTGTGTGGGTGCAGTGGGTGCTGTGTGGGTGCTGTGTGGGTGCAGTGGGTGCTGTGTGGGTGCTGTGTGGGTGCAGTGGGTGCTGTGTGGGTGCAGTGGGTGCAGTGGGTGCTGTGTGGGTGCAGTGGGTGCAGTGGGTGCTGTGTGGGTGCAGTGGGTGCTGTGTGGGTGCAGTGGGTGCTGTGTGGGTGCTGTGTGGGTGCAGTGGGTGCTGTGTGGGTGCAGTGGGTGCTGTGTGGGTGCAGTGGGTGCTGTGTAGGTGCTGTGTGGGTGCTGTGTGGGTGCAGTGGGTGCTGTGTGGGTGCTGTGTGGGTGCTGTGTGGGTGCAGTGGGTGCTGTGTGGGTGCTGTGTGGGTGCAGTGGGTGCTGTGTGGGTGCTGTGTGGGTGCTGTGTGGGTGCAGTGGGTGCTGTGTGGGTGCTGTGTGGGTGCAGTGGGTGCTGTGTGGGTGCAGTGGGCACTGTGTGGGTGCTGTGTGGGTGCAGTGGGTGCTGTGTGGGTGCAGTGGGTGCTGTGTGGGTGCAGTGGGTGCTGTGTGGGTGCTATGTGGGTGCAGTGGGTGCTGTGTGGGTGCAGTGGGTGCTGTGTGGGTGCAGAGGGCACTGTATGGGTGCTGTGTGGGTGCAGTGGGTGCTGTGTGGGTGCTGTGTGGGTACAGTGGGGTATGGTTGGGCATAGTGTATGCACAAGGTGGGTGCAGTGGGGCACAGGGTGGGTGCGGTGTTGGCCATGGAATCCAGGCAGCATCCAGGGCCAGTGTCTCAGGTCAGGTCAAGTGCAAGAGGTTTGAACATGGAACACTCTAGAAGTACCTGGACACCGTGTGGCCTGAGCAGATGGACATGGCAGAGGGGATTGTGGGGTGGGGGAGGGATGTGGAGTTCCCACTCTGGGTACAGGAAGAGCCTTTTTGGCTCATTCTAGTACATTCTTTCTGGTCCTGGAGAGAAGACAGACTGAGGGGCAGTGAACCCAGCCTGTGTGGCTTAGGCCTTGGTGGTGGGGGAGCAGCAGGTGGAGTGGTTACAGGCAGGTGTAGGCCCTACCTGAGCAATGGAGGCAGACAGCACTCTGCTGGCTGAGCGGGGTCTCCGGAGGAGTCTCCATGAACGAGCAGCAGCTGTGAGCTCTGAGGAACTCAAGGACCTCTGCCAGGTCACATGGGTGGAGCCTGTGTGACACCCAGCTGGGGTGCTGCTCAAGAGGGGGATGTACAAGTACGGAAGCCAGTTGTTTCTTCCAGGTGTGGGCAGGAAGAAGGCGCTGGAGTTTGTTGGATGTTTTGGCCAGTCCTGGAGCTTGACTAGGGCCTGGGCACTGTCCCTGAGCTTCATTTTGCTCACGGTTAGCACTCTACCACTTGAGCCACAGCACCACTTCCAGCTTTTTCTGTTGATGTGGCACTGAGGACCTGAACCCAGGGCTTCATGCATGCAAGGCAAGCACTCTACCCCTGAGCCACCTTCCCAGCCCCTGCCAGGGTTTTGGTGGCCCTGCCGGCCCCCACCTCTCTGCTGGAAGCACAAATACAACACAGCTACCTTCACTGCTACTCTGGGCACAGCACGGCTCCTCCAAAGTGGGGGTGAGGGGTTGAGGGGCTCAGGGCTGCCTCTGCTCTAGGACAGGAATGTGGGGGGGGTATGTGGGAGGCCCTGCAGCATCCCCTCAAGGCCTGCCCAGCATGGGGGCCAAGGGCAGCTCCTGTATGGAGAGGTGTGCAGAGGCTCCAAGGGGCTCTGGGCGGCACCATGGGTCTTAGGCCTTCTCCATGGGAAGAAGGAACAGGGAATATGCACCTCCTGAGGCCAGTCAGGAGGCCAGGCAGCCTCCCTGGCCCTACCTGCAGGGCGCTGGATGCCATCTCCAGGAACTGCTCAGGCCTGTCCTTCTCCGGCTTGAACTTGTCCAGTTGCTCGATCACAACCTTGATGCACTTTCCATAGTATCCCATCTTCCCAGGCAGGACCCTAAAAACAGGTCACTACAGGTCACCTTCTCCATGACACTCGGGTGGCCAGTGTGGCTGAATTGGCTGCTGCAGCCTCTCTGGCACTGCCCGCTGGCCACCTCCCAGCACCCCGGCCCAGTGACAGGCAGGAAGGAGCCTGGGGCCCCCAGCTGAACACCTCCACTTTAGAGAGAAGTGGACTAAGGCTGGAGAGGACCGACACAGCTAAGTGGCCAGGCCCTGTCTAGACCCTGAACATTCTGGAATCATGCCAGAGAAGACTGGCTTACCCCAACTCCTCCAGGGGAAGAGAAACTACTTGATGTGAGGCCAGGGGCCATATTAAATGGCCCCCAACTGCCCTCTGAGTTGGCACAGGCCTCATCTGCCATGCAGCAGGCAAACACGGGCTCCGGTCAGACTGCTTGGGGCAGCTGGGCAGTGCCAGGGCCGGCCTGCACTCACCACCCCTCCCATTCTCTCACTCCAGCCACTCTGGGCCAGCCAGGGTGTGCAGGCCCCCACGAGCTGCAGAGCTGGGTGCTGGTGCTCTGTGGGCGGTGGGCTCACCTCTCCTCCACCAGGCCCAGTCCGGGAACCAGTCCCTCTAAGCTGGCGGCTGTCTAGGGATGCCACGTTGCAAGGTCCCCAGAGCAGCGGCCAATCCAGACGGGGTCCAGTGGTGGGTCTTCAAAATTAGAAAGCTGTTCCTAAAGGTCAAAGCCCAATGAGCAGAGGAGTTCCAGGAAGGCAGGAAAAAGAAGCAAGCAAAACCTGGAACCAAACGAGTGACAAGTGTCTTCCAGGATGAGTCCTGGGTACTCAACATGACAAAGTGTCATGAAGTTTCTCAGTGGACAAGCCCACCGCTACTGGGTGGCCACGCGATTCCAGAGACACCTGTCAGCCCTGGGGACCCTCCTCTAGCCCTGGGGGCCTTCCTCCACCCCTGGGGGCTTTCCTCCATCCCTGGGGGCCTTCCTCCAGCCCTGGGGGCCCTGTATGTCTTGGACAGCAGGTCCAGAGCAGGCTAGATGAAGGTCTGGAAAGCTGAGGCTGAACTCGAGGATGGTTGTGGAGGAGATGCAGGTGACCCCAGGGTGACAGGGGCTCTAGGACAAGGATGTCAAAAGCAGGATGAGGGGGCTCCTGAGTCCTCTCCAAGAGCAGCCTCTGGCCCCTGCAGACGTTAGCCAGTGGATACAGAGAGAGGCAGGACACCTGCCCCACCGAGGGCCAGTGTCCCCACGCCGCTGGGCCCTGAACGGTGACCGGGCTGGCCCTCAGGGCTGCAGACACAGAAGAAAGAGACCAGAAGAAAGGCCTCCTGGCGCTGGAAACTGGTGGGAGTTGGCTTCACGTCCTGGTGGTTAAGGACAAGCACAGGAGAGGTCCTGCCTGGCCCCCATGATGGCGCCAGCACCGTGGCTGTCTCTGGAGACCAGTGGAGCGGTCTTGCCGTGGAACTCTGGGCTGGGGGGCCTGATGGTGAGCGGGGAGGGCAGAGACAGTGACTCTCCGACTTGGATGATGCCAGGCTCCATCCATCAAACAGATCCCTGGATGCCAGGCAGAGCCCAGGCCCAACGGAGGTTTGTATGAACCTGCCCAGCCCCTTGGCAGCCTGGCACTGGGGACTGCCCCTGGAGCAGCTCCACTCCACCCTTCTCCCTCTTGTTTTTGGTGCCAGTCTTGGGACTTGGACTGAGGGCCTGGGTGCTGTCCCTGAGCTTTTGTACTCAAGGCTAATGCTCTACCACTTGATCCACAGCTCCACTTCTGATTTTTTGGTGGTTAGAGATAGGAGTCTTATGGATGCTCCTGCTGGGCTGTAATTCTCAGTTTCAGTCCCCTGAGTAGCTAGGATTACAGGCCCGAGCCACTGGTCTGGTTCTACCCTAACCCTGAGGACGTCTTTGTCATCAGGTGGGTGGTGGGAGAATGACCCCCATTGTCCACCTGGGTTCTCTCCCTCTCCTCTGGTCACTCGGGTCACCTCTAGCAAATCTCCTGGGATGGGAGGCCTTCACTGTGTGAACGAAGTCCTGGTGGGTGCCTTCCAGGGTCCTGGGCCCACGTTGCTCCCCAGTCTGCGAGGTACTTGGAGCAGGGCTGGGACAAGCATGAGGCACTGTGCCCAGGGGCCATCTGCTTCTCTCTTGGATGTGGCATCCTCTTCTGGGAGGGCTAGGCAGCCTCCAGATTCCCCGGCCATCACAGAGGCAGCACTGGTTGTGGAGCAGGGCCGTTTTCGGGGGCATTACTCAATGGGGACCAGAGGCTGAGTCTTTCTCTCGTTTTCTTGTTTGTTCTCTCTCATTCTCTTTCTCTGTGACATCTCTTCTGCCTGCCTGGGGCCTTGGAGGAACAGAGCGTGTGTGGGTGTCAGCATCTGCCGGGGGTGGGTGCAGCAGAGAGGCGGGTGGGCCCAGGCTTGGCGCTGTGCTCTCGCTGCGGGGGCTGGGCCAGCCTTGCTGACCCAGGGCAGGGTCAAGGTGCCCCTCCACACGTGGCTCTCGCGGGGGGTGGGCAGGACGGGCAGGAGAGGTCTTGTCTACAGCTCCTGGGGCATTGTCTGGGAGGGCCTGCCATTCTCCCTCCTTCCTTCCCTCCCGGCTCTGCTGGGCAGTACAGGGCCAGCAGCTGAGCCTGTGTCTCAGCTCTGCAGGGCGGGTGCGAGTGGGAAGGCCTGTGGCCCTGGGGTTGAGGAGGAGGGACACAGGAGCGAAGCAGGGTAGGCAGCGGGTTTGCTGAGGGCTCCATGGTGGGGAGCCTGGGCAGCCAGTGCGGGATGGGGCAGGGCTGGGCCTGAGCTGGTTTGCAGTGCCAGTCCCCCTCCTGCCCTGCTAACCCTACTCCTTCCGGGGCCCTGGTGCCACTGGCCCGCGTGAGGGCCTGTGTCCTCCTGAGCTGGCCCTGTGCTGGGGCCTTTGTTCCAGCTCAGCTCTCTCCTCAGTGGAAAGCAATCCCAGACGCTCCAGGAATTTCGAGGGTGGGAGGTGGTGGGTGCCCCAAGGCCCCCTGTCCGGCTTACTCCTGCCCTGAGGCCCGAGGGGACAGGCGGGTCTGGGGGAGGCTCTGGACAGAGCCTTCTGCGCCGCTCCCTGCCTCGGGGTAGAGTGCAGGCCTTGCTGGGTGGGCTTCTCAGGCCGCCCAGGCCTCACGTGGGAATGGGCCACACATCACTCACGGGGCCGCCCAGCCCGGGCCCTCCGCCCGCCACGTCCCGCAGCCGTCTTTCTGTAGTCCTGATCTGGCATCGCTGAAGGGTTCATAAACCACAGTGAGCACGAAGGCAGACGGAGCGTCTCACCTTGGAAGGCTGGCCCCCGGCTCAGAGCCGCATCTCACCAGCACCCAGGACTAACTCCCTAACCACTCAGACCAGTACTAGGGTTTGAACTCAGGGCTTTGAGCGTGTAAGGTTCCACCCCTTGAACCAGGCCCACAGCTCCTTTTGCTTTTAGTCTGTTTCTCAGATACGGTTCATATTGCCTGGGCTGGCCCAGCGCAGTATTCATACCGTGTCCTCTAAGGAGATGTGAGTGCAGATGTGTACCAACATGCGGAACTGGTGTTTTTAAAATTGTTTCTGAGGTGCAAACTCAGGTCCTTTCCCTTGCTCCCTGGGCTGGCATCCTACTACTTGAACCACACCTCCAGGTCCAGGTTTTTGCTGGTTAATTTAGAGATGGAGGCTTGTGGGTTTTTTTTCTTCCTAGGCTGGCTTTGAACTTCAATCCTCTAGATCTCAGCCTCCCCGAGTGGCTAGGATTACAGGCTGGGACATAGCTCCCTCCCCAGGCATGTGTGCAAACACTCCTGGGTATGAGGGTTTCCCGCCGTTCCCTCCTGCCCTGGACTCTGGACGGCTCTGAAGGAGCAGCCCCACACCAGATGGAAAGGATCTCACACCACCCCTCTGGGTAGCTTTGGCTTGCTGCTGGTCTGAGGGCTCCGGGGACAGGGGCTCTACACCCCTACACCTGGCACAGAGCAGGTGAAGCTCTGGGAGGATCAGCATGAGGAAAGGGCTGAGTTACCATGGAAACTGCCAAAGCAATCACATACTGGGGTAGGAGCCAGAGTCACATCCAGAACCTCAGCCTTAGCTATCTATCTATCTATCTATCCATCTATCCATCCATCTATCTACCTACCTATTTATGTGTCCATTTTTAGCTTTTAAAAATCTAATGAAATGTTTACTTTTGAGCATATATTGGATTCATGGCCCATTGTCCCCTCCTCCTCTCACCCCTTCAGCTCAGCTCAGCTCAGTTTCTAATTGTCTCCCTTCAACTGTCTTTGTGGGCTTAAACTCAGGGCTTGGGCACTATCCCAGATGTTTTTCTCAAGGCTAGCACTCTACCACTTGAGCCATGGCTCCTCTTGTGATTTTGGAGTAGTTAATTGCAGATGGTCCCATGGGATTTCCCCCTGGACTGGCTTTGAACTACGATCCTCAGATCTCAGACTCCTGAATGGCTAGAATTACAGGTGTGAGCTACTGGTACCTGGCTTCTTTTTTTTTTTTCCTTCTAGCTTCTACACGTGAGAGAAAATGTGGTACTTGTCTGAGTCTGGCTAATTTCTCTTAGGACTATGATTTCAGGTTAAAAAAAAACAATTATTATTATTATTTGCAGAGCTGAGGACCGAACTCAGAGCCTTGCACTTGCCAGGCAAGTGCTCTTACACTGAGCTAAATCCCCACCTGCCCCTTAAATATTTTTGTGCTGGTACTAGGACTTGAACTCAGGGCCTTGAATTCTTGCTTGGCTTTTTAGCTCAAGGCTGGCACTCTATCATTTGAGCCACAGCTCCATTTCTAGCTTTTTGATGGTTAACTGTAGATAGGAGACTCAGGGTCTTTCTTACCTGGGCTGGCTTGAACTGTGATTCTCAGATCTCATTCTCCTGTGTAGTTAGGATTACAGGTGTGAGCCAACAGTGCACAGCTTCAGGCTTATGTTTAAACTCTATTCTTTTGTGGTACTGGAGGTTGAACCTAGGGCCTCACACATGCTAGGCAAGTGTTCTACCATGTGAGCCACATTTCTAGTCCCTTGGCTTTATTTTGATGTTGAGAAACCATCATGCATCATTTGTATAGCAACCCAATTGTATGTTAGTTAAAAGATGTTTCCAAGATTATGGGGCTAGGAAAGTGGCTCAGTGGTAGGGTGCTTGCCTTGCATACATTAGGCCCTGAGTTTGATTCCTCAGCACCACATAAGCTTAAAATGGTGCTTGGGCTCAAGTGTTAAGAGTGCTAACCTTGAGCTGAAGAGCTGAGGGACAGCATTCAGGCCGAGTTCAGGCCCCATGACAGACCAAAAAAAAAAAAAGATTAAAGCATTCTCCTAAGCACGGCTGTCCAAAGGTGCCTTGTTACTTTTGCTTCAAGCCCAGCTCCAAGGGCCAGAGTTTTCTGCTTGCTTCTCAAACACTACTCTCCCTTTCACAAGAGTAAAGGTTTGCCCACAGCTGACCACCAGAAAGATGATGGTGTGAGTTCACCGGGAAGCAGGAAGGTGGTCATGTGTAGGGGTTGCTGGAAATTCTGCTGGAATCCTTTTCTCTTTTTCATTTGGTGCCTGGGCTCAGGAGGTGAAGGAATCAACTTGGGCAGCCATCCTGATCATGATGAGAAATGGCATGTGCTGACTCCTGAGGACTGCGGGCTGCTCTACCCAGGACTGCCTCTCCAAGGACTTCTTTTATGGATATGAACAAACTATAATGATGGAATTTTATTTTACTGTGTGCAGCTGTACCTACTCCTACTTGCCTTCCCACTTCCTTGACATCAGTCTTTATCCTGAGCAAAATTCCAAACTATGAGAAGCCCAGGAAGAGTTTGTGAGCAGCAACTTCCCCAGACTCTGGAGCTGGACAAGGACAGGCCCACAGATAAAAGCCATAAATTACACTGGGCAGTGACACCAAACCACTACTGTTAGTTCTCTCACCAAGGGACTCAGGCTTTGGAAGGAGCAGATTTCATGGGGGAAAACTGAGGGCAGTGTGGGACATGTTCAATTTCACACCCTGTGAAATTTCACACATCTGTGAAGAACAGATACACAGGTGTGGGCTCACTGGAGACCTAGGTTTGGAGGCGCTAGAGGAAAACAGGTGGCTGCAGGCAATCACTCAAGATGGGGTGAAGAATGACTGCTGAGGATGGTTGAGTCCCTGGGCCTCCACCATGAGGTGTGGGCAGAGGGAGCTGGGGAAGGAGCCTGGGGCAGGAGGAGAGGAGAGTGCCTTCCAGCCAAGTCAGCCTGGCAGTGGCTGGAATCACCGGCTGCTGACATTGCAGAGGAGGTGAGTCCTGATTGCTGACTATAGCAGCATCCAGGCAAAGTGACTTGATAGAGAACTTCGCAGCAGTGGATGGGTGGAAATCTCGGGGATAAGAGCAGAGATAGGTGGTTGCCCGAGGGGAGCACGAAAATCATTCGGGTTTAGCTTCATGTAACAGAGGTCGGGGATCTGAACCCTGGGCGAGGTAACCAGCGGTGCCGGCTGCTTCTGAATTCTGTGCGGAAGGCCCTACCTCCCCAGTGCAGGCCGGGCTCCCCCCGGGCAGGCCGGGCTCCCCCAGTGCAGGCCGGGCTCCGGGGCAGGCCGGGCTCCCCCCCCTCCCCCGGGGCAGGCCGGGCTCCCCCCGGGCAGGCCGGGCTCCCCCAGTGCAGGCCGGGCTCCGGAGCAGCGTGAACCCGGCCGCAGGGACGCTTGGGTTCCGCTGGAGCGCACGGGCCGCGTGCTGGGTGGGAACGGGGAAGTACCTTTCCAAAGCACCGCTACGCGCCCTCGGGACCCTCGGGAGGCCGAACGCTCGCGGGCGGGCCAGACGACGAGTGTCGAGGACGCTCGCCCGGAGCGGCGCCGAGGCCCGGGCCCCGCCCCCCGCCGGGCCCCCGCCCCCCGCCGGGCCCCGCCCCAGCCGGGCCCGCCCGCGTACCTGCCGCCGCCGGACCCCTCCGCCTGCACCCGCGCCCGCGGGGGCGAGGGTCGCGGAGGGATCGCGGAGGGGTCGCTGAGGGGTCGCGCACGCTGCTGGCAGCTCACCCTCCCGGCCGGCGGGGCGTCGTTTGGGCGTCGTCGCCTAGCAACGCCGCGCCGCTGGAGGCCGCCCGCGGTGCACGCCGGGATTTGTAGTTCGGATCGTGCGGCCCGGCGGGCGCGCTCCTCGGGCGGGCGCGGCGCGGCGCCGGGATTGGCGGCCTCCCCGGCGGGCCCCGCCCGCGGCTCGCGGCGGGCTGGGGGCTCGTGCGCCCTCGGCGCATGTGCGGCGCGGGGCGGTGGTGACCAGAGCAGGCGCGGGGTGCCAGGGAGCGGCGAGGCGCCGCGCGCCCCCGTGCCCGCGCCGGTCCCGGAGCCCGCCCGCCCGCCCGCCCGCCTGCGGTTCCGGGCCCGCCCGGCGCGCCGCTCCCCGAGCATCCTCCGGGCTGCGCACCTGCCCCGCGCGCCCGCCCGCCCGCGGTCCGCTGCGCCCAGCCGCCCTCGGCCCGCACGGGGGGGGGGGGGCCCGGCCCGGCCCCGGCCTCCGCGTCCTCCCCGCGCCGCGGCCGGGCCCGAGCGGAGCGCAGCGCTGCGGCGGGCGGGGGCCGTCCCGAGCCCCGCCCGGGCGGGCGCGGCGATGATGAACAGGTTCCGAAAGTGGCTGTACAAACCCAAGGTGAGCGCCCCGCGCCCCGCGCCCCGCCGCCGCGCCCCTCCCGCTCGCGCCGACCCCTTCCCCTCGCCGCCGTCCCGTCCGCGGCGCGGACCCGCGGGGACGGCCTCTCCGCTGCCCCGGCGGAGCTCCGAGGGCCGGGCGGACCCGCTGCGCCCCGTCCGTCTCCCAGCGCCCGCGCCGGTCCTTGCGGGCCCGAAGAGAGGACCAGTGCCCGCGCCGGACCCCCAGACCCCTTCCTCCCTGGGTCCGGTTCGCATCCCCGTCCTGGTCTCGTGTCCCCTTCCCCTCCCCCGTGTCCTGGGCCCCAGCGCCGGGTGGGCGCGCGGAGCCCCGGGCCGCGCGCGGCCGGGGCCGGGTCCGCGCCGTCGCACTGCGGGCGCTGCGTCCCCGCCGCCCGCCTGGGGTCGGGACCCGCGGGCGCCCGGGGCGGGGCACGGCTTGGGTGGGGTCAGCGCGGCGCCGGCCTACCCGAGCCCCCGCCGGCCGAGCGCTCTCCGCCCGGGGTCCCCCGGCCCCCTCTTCCAGAGCGGTTCGCAGCGGGCTCTCCGGGAGCCCCGGCCCACGGCGGAGGGCGAACTCGCGCCTGCTTGGCCGGCCGCGGTGTCACGGCTCCTGGGGCCGGCCCGGGGGTGATGCGGGGCTCCCAGGGCGCATAGCCCGGGGTGATGCGGGGCTCCCAGGGCGGCCGGCCCGGGGGGTGATGCGGGGCTCCCAGGGCGGCCAGCCCGGGGGTGATGCGGGGCTCCCAGGGCGGCCGGCCCGGGGGGTGATGCGGGGCTCCCAGGGCGGCCAGCCCGGGGGTGATGCGGGGCTCCCAGGGCGCATGGCCCGGGGGGTGATGCGGGGCTCCCAGGGCGGCCGGCCCCGGGGTGATGCGGGGCTCCCAGGGCGGCCGGCCCCGGGGTGATGCGGGGCTCCCAGGGCGGCCAGCCCGGGGGTGATGCGGGGCTCCCAGGGCGCATGGCCCGGGGGGTGATGCGGGGCTCCCAGGGCGGCCGGCCCCGGGGTGATGCGGGGCTCCCAGGGCGGCCGGCCCCGGGGTGATGCGGGGCTCCCAGGGCGGCCGGGCGCAGGCCGCTCTCGCCCCGCTGCAGCAGCACCGCGGCCGCTTCCGCGCCGGGTGTGGTCTGAGGGCTGCCTTGCCCTGGCCACGCCCTGCGCGCCCGGCCGCCTTCTCCCTTCGCCCGGGCTCCCTCCGCGGCTTCGGGCTCTGCCCCGCACGGCCGGGCCCTGCGCAGCAGATGGGTCGCAGCTCTGTTGGGTGACTGTCGCCAGCTAAGGAAAGGCTTTGGGGCGGCCGGCGGCCGGGAGGGCCGTGCTCACTTCCGTCTCGTGAGCGGTCACTTCGGACTGGGCTGTGGCTGTGCGTGGAGAAGAGACTGGAAGCGAGAGCAGTCCCTGCCCTTGAGGTCGGGCTCTGAGAGCTGGAGGCTGAGTTCAAGCCCCAGGAAGGGGGGAGAGAGGGAGAGAGAGAGGGAGAAGGGAGGGAGAGGGAGGGAGAGGTGGGGGGAGGGAGGGGGAGCGTCCTTACAGCTCTCTTCCAGCCGTCAACTGCCCGTCGTCCACTCTCTCCATTCTCTCCCAGGCCTGTGCTTCAAAGGACAGGGGAATACAGTTCCGCCCAGGCCTGGTCCTTTCCGCCCTGTCATTCTCAGCGGCCAGCCCGCAGTTGTCCCTGACCTCTGGATTTGAGCCACCTCTGGGTCTCAGATCTCTGCCTCTGCCCATGACCATCTCTGGAGCTGCTGCCCAGCCTAAACTTGGCTGGCTCTTGTTTGGGCTCCGTCACTGGAGTTAAGTACTTTGATGGTTTGAAGGGTTGAACTATGTTTTGTCACTGCAGTAGCCTTTCATTTTCCAAACTGAGGCCTCAATGTTTGCCTCAGATTATGAACTGAATTTTATGCTTTTCCTTCCTGCAGAATGGAGTGGGTTTTGGCAGAAGGGAGGGTGGAGTTGGTTCTGGGAAGGTTCCAGGCCTGGAAGAGTTGAAGTGGTAAGTGTGAGCCGAGGAGGTGTGTGTGTGTGTGTGTGTGTGTGTGTGTGTGTGTGTGTGTGTGTGTGTGTGTGTGTGTGTGTGTGTGTGTGTGTGTGTGTGTGTGTGTGTGTGTGTGTGTGTGTGTGTGTGTGTGTGTGTGTGTATTGTTGCCTACAGTTAGGATTACTTCTCCACTGTGTATTTTAGACATAGACAACCTATTTATTAATTTAATTTGCTCTGAACACTGACCTTGTTCGTTACAGTGCAGTGAAGAATATTTTGAGGTAAACATTCATTACTCCTGTAGTTCTAAAAAGTGATTGAAAATGCTTAAAATGTTTTTATATGACACAGTTTCTGGTATGTGAAGCATTAATAACTACTTAAGTTGGGTAAAAGAGTAAATGATGAATAATACAATAGTTTAACATTAAAATGACATTTGCAAAGTATATTTCCACTAATTTTCCTAAGATGAATCTTTTGAGCACCAGTGTGATTTTCCCTGATGAACCTGTCAGTATTCTGAGTGTGACCCTGACTCTGAAGGCAGCCTGGACGGGCCAGTGCTGGGCAGCCAGCCTGATGGCCCAGCCTCTGGTCATGTTTCCCTCTTCCCTAGTGAACAGCCTTTCTGAGAGTTGATGCATTAGAAAGGCCTTTGGAATTGGTGCCTTTATTTGAGATGTAAGTATCAGTGCTCTGTTTCTTTGCTTGGTCTAACACATTACCAGTAGCCCTGAATGGTCATCTCTGGTCACTAGGAGGAAGGAATGATGGCATGGGGGAATGGGGACCCTGGACTCAGACCTGGGCCAGAGAGAGCCATTCTGGAGGGTGCATTTGTGTTTTCCACCTCTGAGGAGGGGTTGATCTGTGGGTGGGTGAGGCTGGACAGTGGACAGGTACTACTGATTACCACACTCAAGCATGTACCCCAGGTCTCTCATCTGTACCCACAAACCACTTCCAGAGCAGGAGTTATTAACCTTTCTGGTCCCTTCCTTTTCAGGGTAATTCCTTGTAACCCTGCTTTACTGAGTGATGTGTAGATGCTATGTGAATATTCTAGGTTCTGAGATGGCCTTTATAAGGGAAGGCTCTGAGACTTGCTGGGCATGTGGGGTCTGAATAGGAGAGTAGCCTGTGAGAGAGCAGCCACTGATGTCCTGAGTCCCATGATGCTTCCCACTGGGATGTGCTGCTTCCTGCTCGGTTCCCATGATGCTTCCCACTGGGAGGTGCTGCTTCCTGCTCGGTTCCCATGATGCTTCACACTGGGATGTGCTGCTTCCTGCTCGGTTCCCATGATGCTTCCCACTGGGGCGTACTGCTTCCTGCTCGGTTCCCATGATGCTTCACACTGGGGCGTGCTGCTTCCTGCTCGGTTCCCATGATGCTTCACACTGGGGCGTGCTGCTTCCTGCTCGGTTCCCATGATGCTTCACACTGGGGCGTGCTGCTTCCTGCTCGGTTCCCATGATGCTTCCCACTGGGATGTGCTGCTTCCTGCTCGGTTCCCATGATGCTTCCCACTGGGAGGTGCTGCTTCCTGCTCGGTTCCCATGATGCTTCACACTGGGAGGTGCTGCTTCCTGCTCGGTTCCCATGATGCTTCCCACTGGGATGTGCTGCTTCCTGCTCGGTTCCCATGATGCTTCCCACTGGGGCGTACTGCTTCCTGCTCGGTTCCCATGATGCTTCACACTGGGGCGTGCTGCTTCCTGCTCGGTTCCCATGATGCTTCACACTGGGATGTGCCACTTCCTCCTTGAGCCCCTTGATGCTTCCCACTAGGATGTACTGCTTCCTGCTTGGTTCCCATGATGCTTCACACTGGGACACACCGCTTCCTCCTTGAGTCTCTTGACACTTCACACTGGGACATACTGCTTCCTGCTCAATTCTTATGATGCTTCACACTGGGACATACTGCTTCCTGCTCGGTTCCCATGATGATTTATACCAGGATATACTGCTTCCTCCTCAATTCCCATGATGCTTCACACTGGGAAGTACTGCTTCCTCCTCAATTCCCATGATGATTTATACCAGGATATACTGCTTCCTCCTCGAGTCCCATGATGCTCACGCTAGGACATACCACTTCCTGCTCGAGTCCCATGATGCTCACGCTAGGACATACCACTTCCTGCTCGAGACCCATGATGCTTCACGCCAGGATGTACTGCTTCCTGCTCGAGTCCCATGATGCTCACGCTGGGACATACCACTTCCACCTTGAGTCCCATGATGCTTCACACTGGGATGTACTGCTTCCTCTCCAGTCCCATGATGCTCACGCTGGGACATACCACTTCCTCCTCGAGTCCCATGATGCTTCACACTGGGATGTACTGCTTCCTCTCCAGTCCCATGATGCTCACGCTGGGACATACCACTTCCTCCTCGAGTCCCATGATGCTCACGCTGGGATGTACCGCTGCCCCACAGCACTCTGCCAGTACTCCCTGTGCATGGACCTTGTGGTATTTGGGATTTGAGTGTTGTTATGTCCTTGCCTAAGTGCTGTCTGTCTGATCTGCAGCTGATAACTGTGAGTGTCCAGCTGGCCCAGGCTGCAGCTGCAGGGGCAGCTGTCTCCATCGGAAAGCCAGTGTTCAGGCGGCGCGTAGTCCTCACCACGGCCAGCCCCCTCCCAGCAAATGCCTGGCCAGAGCCGGGCTCAGGAAGGCCGGGTGGGCCAGGAGGCCCGGCAGGTTAGCTGGCTCTGCCCACCTTCGCCTGTGTCCCAGGGTTCCCTGAGTTCACAGGGCTGGGGCCTCTCCCTCTGGCTCTCTCCAGAGCCCTACTTCAGGGCTGCATGCTGGCTGGGCCCACAGCCCTTGAGGGCTTGTGGCTGTGATCCCCGGGTGCAGGGCAGGCGCTCAGCGGGAAGCTGCTCTCTGCTCCCAGACTTGGCTGTGGTGTTTAGTAGTAGGGGTGTGTGGGGTGCACGGCAACTCCTCCCAAGCACATCTTCAAGACCAGGAAGAGGTGGAGTCACAGGAAGGGCCCG